ATCACGTCCCTCATGGGAAAGAGAGTCATACGCGACGATGAGATTAAGCTCCTGGGGACTGGTGAAGTTGCCGACGCATGAGTGGGTGACATTGGTGGGTTTGTGAGCCGTGACGACGTAGTTCCATATGCTCATCTTCTTCTTGTTCGTCTGAAAATTTGGGTTCGCTCTCTTCGATTCGGGTCCTTCCCCCTGGGTTTTTGGTAGATTCTGGGTTTCTCTACGAGCTGTTGGATTTCTCCGGGGGAGAGAGGAGAGAGACTGCGGCTGAATGAGAGGGGAGGTCACAAGAAAACACGCAATCTGCGAAGGAAGTCCGGTTCGGTATAAAATTGAAATCACATGAACAATCCGGTTTGGTATAAAATTGAATCCGGAGAATTGTCCGGTACGGTTTATAATGGATGCCCGGCCCAAGTTTCTAGTTGTACTTGAACCAATTGTATAAACCCACGAGAACAAGAGGCCCATGGCCCAGAATGAATTAGTCAATTTAATCATAATAGTAATTAATATCAAGTCATTGTCCTAAACTTGTTAATCTGTGTAATAATCGATCGTTATTATGATATAATAATATTCAGATTCTTATACTATATAAAAAATGATATGTTTATTTAAAATTTCTGAGATTTAATCTATTAATATATTAACAGTTATGTTTATGAATAACAATTTCAAAAACATTTCCAATTTTACCTCTCTTTTTTTTTTTACCAATATTACCAAGTAAGTCCATCTAGATCTAGATATATTTAATGTCAAGGTTTCCATAATATCTGCATAGGATACTATTGGTGGTTGGTCATTGTTCTTTGTGCAATGCATATGCTTAATGAGTTGAAAACAAGGTGAGATGTGTGCATAGTACATAATCTAATTTTGGAGACCAACCATCTCGTCTTCAAAATAGGAGAGGTTTCATATTACATGCTTTTTATAACATAAATATTTAAGGGAGCAAGCAAATTTACAGAATAAAAAAATTACGAAACTAAATAGTAAATAAAAAAACCAAATTACTCTAGGGTTGAGTAAATTATCTTCAGTCGATTACATATGAATATATTGCGCTTTAAGCGAAATTATATTAATTAGGGATGATCATTTTGGATTTCGATTCGTGTTCGGTTCAATTATATTCGGGTTCGATTATAGAAAAACTATAGCTATTCGTTTTTTATATAAACTTTGATTCGATTCGGTTCGGTCCGGTTATTTTTTTCGTTTTATTTCGGTTTGAATTTAAATTTTTTGTTGTAAAAACTCATTTTTTCAAAGAAAATTATCAGTTTTTTTGTTTATTGTTTTAATCGGTTCGATTCGGATTTAATTTTTTCGAATGTAAAGGAATAATAATTGTTTAGTTTTATATCGGGTTTGGTAAATGGTTCGTTTACGGTTATTCTCATTCGGTTCGGTTTGATTAACCAAAATGGTCAACCCTAATATTAATGCCACGACAGTTACAGGCATAAATCTAGGTACTAAAATGCAAATTTACAACAATAATCGTAGGTAGTATTTTTAGGTCGTCCTCCGTAAAAAAGGAAACAAAATATTTTATTTTTTCAGACAATATATAAACTCAAAATATATAATATACCTAGCATATTTTGTGCAGAAGAAACATCGCATCCCAACAGATTCGTATCCTTCTCGCTCTCTCGTTGAACATCGCCAGTTTTGAGTTCAGACACGATCTTCTCCTAGCTTTCGGTCTGTATCAAGAACTCATATATATCTTTATCATTTGTTTTGTTTCATCGATATTTGTTTGATTATTTGCCATCTTCGCCGTCATTTTTGGTTCCGCACTCTCCGGATCTCGTTCTCACTAGTTTCCTCGATTCTGGTCTGAGCATCACTCGTTTTTAATTTTTAAAAAATTTTGAAAAGTCAAAAGATGCAGGCTGACATCATATTTATATATATATTTTTTCTAAAAAATGTTGTTTACATATGATTCCAGCCAGTATTTGTCCGAATTAATTATATTTTTGTCGTCGAATCGATTTCCACGGATATATACGTAAGAGAAGTCAAACGGCAGCAAACCTAGTTATATATATAAGCATGGCAACGTTTCCGACAAGTCATCTGTCCTGTGTCTTTTTTTTTTTAGATTTTGAGTTACATCCTCTGTTCTTTTTGCTGTCCGTTTCCGTTGTTGTGAATCTGAATCTGTGAATCCATGATCCCAATCTACATAGCATTCTTCAACCTCTGAATCGTCACCAGAGACTCGAGCAGAAATGGTGTCCAGCGGCGGAGAAGATGGAGTCGTACGGAGGAGAGGGTGCTCGTGCACAAAAGACGATTTTCTCCCCGAGGAGTCGTTTCAGAGCATGGGCAATTACGTAAAAGCGTTGAAGGAGATCCCGGCAAGGCTCAAGGACCGAGTCATGACCCGGTCGGTGGACGCGGCGGAGATCCACGAGATTAGGGCGCGAAGCGGGCATGAGATGAAGAGGAACCTGACGTGGTGGGACCTGATGTGGTTCGGGATAGGGGCTGTGATCGGCGCCGGAATATTCGTTCTGACGGGGCTCGAGGCCAGGGACCACGCCGGACCGGCCGTCGTTTTGTCGTACGTCGTCTCCGGCGTCTCGGCCATGCTCTCCGTCTTCTGTTACACGGAGTTCGCCGTCGAGATCCCCGTTGCAGGTAACATAACCGCCACTCTGTCTCCCTCTCGTTTTTTCGTTTTTGATGTCTTTCTTTTATAAATTAATAATTTTATGGGTTTTTTTTGTTAAATTGGATGGATTATTACAGTTCAGATACAACTGCAAAAAAAAAAATTCTCGTGTTTTTTTTTCTAAATAATGATTTTTTAAGTTGGAAAAATATCTAAAATTTTGCAAAAAAACAAGTCAATTATACGCAGATGCGTCTGTACACACGTACAAGTCAATTATAGACTTTGTGTATTTGTTTGTTAATTGACAGTGATGAATGCATCGTATTTTATATGTATAATACTAAAACAATTGTTAAAACTGCAATTTTCGGATTTCCTAAAAACTGTTTATATTTTACGCTGGATGCATGCATATACCATATATATATATATATGTGTGTGTGTGTAGTCCGTGAGATAATTTCCAAATCTTTTTTAATATTAACCGAATCTCTAGTTTCCATATGCTTTTCGTGATGTATTTATTACGAGCTTTTTGTCCCTAACTTGCAACCTTTTCAAACTATTTTATCAAATATATATATACACACACACACAAAAACAATTACCGCGAAAAAGAAAGTTTATGATATATATCAAAATTATCATTTCCAAAGTAAACAATTGTTTTATAAAAATGATGATGATTTTCATCTGTATTATGGTGTGAGATTATATATAATTACTATAATATATGTGCTGTGTGGAAAATACTAATTACAAATGGGTAACATTTTTAGGACTCCGAGGTCAACTCGGCTCATGGGACGAACTGTCCACGCTGATATTGCATGATCAGTCCATCATTATATATATATAATATTAAAAACAATTATTATGAATATGATATAATGATATTTCACAGTCAAATGAGTAGTGTTCGACGTTGAGTCAAAGTCACCGTTATCAATTAGCATGCCAAGAAAATTCAACTTGTAACCACTTGCAAAATGACGTCACTTTTTGCATTTGGATCTACATTTAATTATATAACAAAATAACAATTTTTTTGTGTAATTATTGGACCAAAAATCCAAATAATTGACAAAATCTTGCAGGCGGATCATTCGCGTACCTGAGAGTAGAGCTCGGCGACTTCGTGGCCTTCATCGCCGCCGGGAACATCATACTGGAATACGTAGTCGGTGGCGCCGCGGTGGCTCGGTCGTGGACCTCTTACTTCGCCACTCTCTGCAACCACAAGCCCGACGACTTCCGCCTCATCGCGCGGTGGCTCGGTCGTGGACCTCTTACTTCGCCACTCTCTGCAACCACAAGCCCGACGACTTCCGCATCATCGCCCACAGTCTCGGCGAGGACTACGGCCACTTGGACCCAATCGCCGTCGCCGTCTGCGCCGTCATTTGCATATTCGCCGTCTTCAGCACAAAGGGTTCTTCCCGTCTCAACTACGTCGCCTCCATCATCCACATTGCCGTCATCGTGTTCATCGTTATCGCCGGTCTGACGAAGGCAAACCCTAAAAACTACCAAGACTTCGCTCCTTACGGAACGCGGGGAGTGTTCAAGGCCGCGGCCGTGCTGTTCTTTGCCTATATCGGGTTCGATGCCGTCTCGACCATGGCTGAGGAGACCAAGAACCCAGGGAAAAACATACCCATCGGTCTTGTCGGGTCTATGATCATTACAACCGCCTGTTACTGTCTCATGGCCGTTGCCTTGTGTCTGATGCAACCATACGATCAGATCGATCCCGACGCTCCGTTTTCGGTCGCGTTCTCGGCCATCGGGTGGGACTGGGCCAAGTACATTGTGGCCGCGGGGGCTCTCAAGGGTATGACGACGGTTCTGTTGGTCGGAGCCGTGGGTCAGGCTCGGTACTTGACCCACATCGCTCGTACCCATATGATGCCTCCATGGCTCGCTAACGTCAGTGCCAAGACCGGGACGCCTATCAACGCCACCATTGTCATGCTCGCCGCTACAGCACTCATCGCTTTTTTCACCAAACTCAACATTCTAGCCGATCTTTTGTCGGTCTCGACATTGTTCATCTTCATGCTCGTGGCCGTCGGTCTTCTCGTCCGGAGATACTACGTGAGCGGGGAGACAACCTCGACGAATCAGATCAAGTTCCTCGTCCTTCTCGCCCTGATTCTCGCATCATCGGTAGGGACATCGGTCTACTGGGCTCTCACCGACAACGAATGGATCGGATACTGCATCACTGTCCCTATATGGTTCCTGTCTACCTTGGGGATGAGGTTGCTTGTTCCGCAAGCAAGATCTCCGAAAACATGGGGTGTCCCTCTGGTTCCATGGCTTCCATCCGCTTCAATAGCCATCAATATCTTCCTCCTCGGGTCGATAGATAAAGATTCATTCATCAGGTTCGGGATCTGGACCGCGATTCTTCTCATATACTATCTGTTGTTTGGTCTGCACGCTACGTATGACGCAGCAAAGGCAGCTGAATTGAACAAAGCGGAATCGAAGTTACAGACAGCAGAAGAAGGCGGCCGTGTTGCAGCAGACAAGACTACTTCATGAATCGTAGATTCTTAATGATATTCTGTTTTTTTTTTATAAAAAAATTTATCTCTAGTGTCCGAAAAAGCTGTAAGATTTTTGGTTTGTTTAGCAAAATATTTACTTTGCCAAAAAAAAATATTTACTTGAAGTGCCTTGGAAATTAGATGACTGTTTTTTATTATGTGATCCATAAAAAAACGAGTTTCTAAAACATATAATTGTCTATTACAGAAGGAAAATGGAGTAAAATTTTTCATTAATTGAAAGGAAATTTGATTTCGATTTGGTTTTCTTTGGTTTAATTTCGGTTTGAAGATTCACCTCGACAAAACTTGAACCGGATCGGTTAATCCTGGTTAGATTTGCTTCTCTGGCTTTGAGTTGCAATGCATGGGTTGGGCTGAGTCTAGCAGAAATCGTCTTCTTGCTCCTGAGGAATACGGTCGCCACTAAGCCGCTAAACCCTAAAGCTGAACCTTAAACCCTAGAATTCGCTCCGGTGTCTCTCTCTCTTCGCGGACACAGAGAATATGAAGCAAAAGAACCAGAAGAAGAAAGGGTTTGCCCCGAGAAGAGGCGGAAAGAAGGGTTCGGTGGAGCGCGACCCATTCTTCGAGGAAGAGTCGAAGAAGCGGAGAAAAGTCGATTATGATGACGAGGATATCGAATCCATGGAGTCCGACGAGGATGAAAACGGGTTTTCCGGCGGAGGAAGCGGAGGCGAGGAGGATAAGGAAGACGAAGAGGCGGAGGATGAGTTTGCCCATGAGACGGCGGGCGAGAGGCGGAAGAGGTTGGCGGAGGAAACTCTGAGGAGGATAAGGGAGGCGAAGAATAAAGAAATGGAGGAACTCTACGACGACGAAGGTAGAGAAGAGGAAGATGGTGTGAGGGATTCGCTTGTTGCGAAGGCTCTGATGCAGGAGCAGCTCGAGGAGAGTGGCCGTGTTCGAAAAGCCATTGCTACCAGGTAAAAAATGAAAATTGGTGTTTTCCCTGCAGAGTAGATCATATTTTGTGCTTACTGAACTTTTCATTGAATCGTGTATCGAATTCGAATGTAGCTGCTTCAAGTATGAAATAATAGATTTCGAGAATGTGAGCGGTTTTCGGGTTGAGGCAGTGTTAAGAAACGGATTGAATCCTGAAGAGATCTAACTTGTCCGAAGCTGTGTTATTAGGAGAATTGAAATGACGTTGTTATAAAAAAAAATGGTTCTTATTAACTTCTTTAGGAACTGGTTCGAAAGCAGTGAGATTACATGACCTTTGTCCCGAACGAACGTCCTCATCATTTTCTATTAGCTTACATGGGTTTGCAGATTGTTTGACGTATTCTTACTGTTGAATTCTCATGATCAGGGTTCAAGAACCGGAGAGTGCAGATGGGTTTCGTGTTATGGTTAAGCATCGGCAATCTGTAACTGCTGTAGCTTTATCAGATGATGACTCAAGGGGGTTTTCAGCATCAAAAGATGGCTCTATCTTTCACTGGGATGTATCTTCTGGAAAGAGAGAAAGATACAGGTGGCCCAGTGATGAAATTTTGAAGTCGCATGGTGTGAAAGATCCTGTGTTTCCAAGTAAAAAGCATAGCAGAGAAACTACAGCTTTGGCCGTTAGTTTTGATGGTCGTTATTTGGCATCTGGAGGTTTGGATCGTCATATTCATTTGTGGGACACCCGTACCCTAGAGCATGTACAGGTAACATACTTATTAGCATTGGTGTTAGGATGCTGTTTTATTCCCTGTTCTCTAATGTGTTATTTTGTCTCTTGTCTCACCCATGCTATCCGGTTATGTGTCTGCAGGTCTTTCCAGGTCATCGAGGACCTGTTTCTTGCCTTTGTTTCAGACAAGGAACTGTAGAACTTTTTTCTGGTTCATACGATCGAACAGTCAAGATATGGAACGCAGAGGATAAATCATATATAAGTACGTTATTTGGACACCAGGATGAAGTTTTAACTATTGATTGTCTTAGGAGGGAACGTGTACTCACAGTTGGGCGTGACAGGACCATGCAGTTATTTAAGGTATAGGTTCTCCTCCTTGTGAATATTGTTGCTGAAGGAATCATATGCATCTGTGATTAATTCGTAAATGTTGTATTTTCAATATGTTTGATAGGTGCCTGAGGAGTCCCGTTTAGTCTTCCGTGCTCCTGCATCAAGTCTTGAATGCTGTTGTTTCATCAGTAATGATGAGTTCTTATCCGGTTCAGATAATGGAACAATTGCACTTTGGACCATGCTACGGAAAAAACCAGTTTACATTGTAAAAAATGCACATCCTGTTACAGATGGTGAAATGGCCAACGGGAGTTTAGGTAACTTTGTACATTTTCCGTTACTGTCCCAAGAAATACCACTCTGTTATATTCAGATTTTTGTTTATTGGTCTGCCTCTTTTTGCTTGTTGCTGACTTTGTATTTTGGAGTATACAGCATTTATCTCGTGTTTGATATATACACTGCTCAGTTCAGTTTTCTTTGCACATATTTCACTCCTCTAAAAAGCTATGTTATATTTTCTTTCCCCAGAAAACGGCGGTCATGTTCCTGACAACTATAACTGTTCGTCAGCGAATTCTTGGGTCAACTCAGTTTCCGTTTGTAGAGGAAGTGATCTTGCTGCATCAGGAGCAGGTAATGGTTCTGTGCGTTTATGGGCCATCGAAAGTGAATCCAAAGCCATTCAGCCTTTGCACCAGCTTCCACTGGTAAGTTATGCTTCTAGTATGTTTCATCTTGACATGGTTTATGCTGCATCTGTTGAATGTGTCGGACTATTTCTTGATCGCTTATGTCTTTTCCGACTGGTTACTGGCGTTTAAAGAATCCATGGGCCATTTTTAGACAAGAAAAATATTTTCACTCTCCATAGTGGAATCGTTAATGGAACCTTTACCACAGATCAGATGATGATTGTTGTGATAAATATTTGATCATATGCTCATGTTCTTGCAGTCTGGATTTGTGAACTCATTGGCTTTTGCTAGATCCGGACAGTTTCTGATCGCTGGAGTCGGAAAGGTACTTTTTTTCTCCCTTTCTGTACTTCCTCGTTGCTTCTGTATGCAAGCCTCAGCAGTTTGGGTTTGGGGAATTATCAACTGTGACAGGAACCACGGCTCGGAAGGTGGGGCAGCATAAAATCGGCACAAAACGGTGTTGCAATACATCCCTTGAGGCTTTCATGAGAGATGCTTTCTTTCTTGGATAACATCAACTGTTAATTGTTTTTGCCCATTTGTAGCCATTGTTTTCTTCTTTTTTTTCTTCTTTTCAGTGATCATTGATCAAATTTGATTTCCTATTTTTGACACCATTTAAGACAAATGATATAAAATTTTGGATCATGTCTTGGGAACCAACCAAATCCAAATTTGTACATAGCAATGAGGCTTTAAAAATGGAGAGTAGATGAATCTATATATATTAATAATTATGTTTGAAGGATTGTGGTGAAGCCACATCATCATCTTATGTGGCAATTCTCTAAATTATAATTGGTTAACTATATAAAAATAATGTCATTATTAATAAAATTTATTGGTTATGGCTAATAAATCCAATTTTATTGCTGGTTATTGTATTAGAATTATGATTATAATAATTAAGAAGAACAATATGAGTACAAATGTACGTTATTTCTTTAACATACGTTATTTTAAAAAAGACAAAGAATAGTCACATGACTCATTTAATTGCAATTAAAAATAATAATACTAAACAACTCACCTGTGAAAAAGAACGTTATGTATATACGACCACCGTTTTTTTATTAATAAATTGATTTGGTCACCATATTAAGCAAAATTAATTTTTTATTTAAAAAAAAAACAAAAAACTGTGGAAAGACTGTTCATTAACCCACAAAATGAAAAAACGGTGGCCAAGTATTATTAACAATTAATATTTGCGTTTCTGTGATTAATTAAACTTTGTTATATTATTGTCTCTATATAACTTCAAAATCGGATGTTCCCATCTTAATTAAAAGTTTTCTATAATTTTTTTAGGTGTTTCTCTAATAAGGTTGGTTATAGTTATCTCACCTACCTGACGTTTTTTGATTGCAGAAATCCTCGGATCTAAATTAGAAGAGAATTCCATCCCTGGAGCCGCGTGATTCGATTTGATCTTACCCTTTCAATTCTGTCATGTGATGGTACTGATTCGAAATCGGTGTTTTCGTCCCTAGATCCGTCAGATCTAATTAAGGTGTATGTCTCGAAATTTGTTTTATGTTTAATGTTTTGGTGTTTATGGAGATGTAGGGATGAAATCCACTCCTAAAGAGCAGTCAGCTTTACGTGGACAGTGGTAGTGTTTCTCAGGCCGGTGAGGTTGCATCAGGAAGGAACTGAATCTGGCGGTGATGAATGCTCACTGGATGAGACAGAGGGAGGACGAAGATAATGAACATGATGAAGTTGATGATAATTGTGAGAACAAAGGTGGAGGAGCAATAGGTTTAAATTTTGTATCTCTTATGTTTGAAATCATGGATCGAAAGATTTGTATAAATTTATAGGTCGCTCTCAAAAACATCTTTCATAATAAAAACCGATTTAAAAATATGAGTGAAACAAATATGATTCAACCAAACAAATAGTATATTTGTCAAAAACAAAAAACATATTATTTACATATACATATACACATATTTATACACATATATTTATGTAATATATATGTATATGTATATATGTGCATCAATGAAAAGTATATGTTTCTAACCATGAAATTCATTATTCTTCTCTATCAATAATCTCATGTTTCTTGGATTTAAACTATAAATCTATTTTTTATTTTCCATTTTAATTTTACTATATATATATATATATATATATGTGTGTGTGTGTCTGTGTGATCTTCTCTTGCATGGTTCTCGAGCAGAGCAAAAAGGAGTCTCCACATCTTAAGGTATGTATATGTGGATTATTGTACAATACGTATAATATATATAATGGATATATAATAACCTATTGAGTGTTGCAGGCTTCTTCAATGGGCATTATGGTGTACCCCTTGGGTTTGAGATTAAAACAAATTTAACGATGGCAACTTTATATACGCCAATGTATACGATCTCATCATTGAACTCTTCGTCAACTACAAAGAGTCAAAGACTATGACAAGTGTTTTTATTTTCTTTTTCGCTTCCCCAACTAACTATTTATGATATAAGCTATAATAAGATATGCAATCAGTAATTACACAAATTCACGGTGTGAGATTATTTTGTTTCTCTACAATCTGTGTTCAACGTGTTGCATGGAATTTAATAACTTTTTTTAACCATGCATGATAGTTTTACACATTACTGTTTAGACATTCACTTCATGTGTATTCCTTTTTTAAAATTGTAATTCATTCTCATTGACAGTTTTAATTTTTTAATTCCATATACCTGAAATAAAGGCGAGAAGCTTTTCCCTTGGTGGGTGAAATTAAGGAACCTCAACGAGAACCTGCAGGAATTGTTTGTCATTTCTTTGCTAAAGGTCGGTGCATCATATTTTGTTTGTGACATGGATATCCAATCCTTCTTCTACAACAGCATATGTTGCTGGATGTTTTTGTAAAAATATTTTTATTCAATAGATAGATTCACCTTTTACAAAAAAAAAAAAAGGGATTGTAGATTTCCTTTTTTTTTTGTAATGTTAAGGTGGAAATCACATCTTTAACATGTATCGGACAAAAAGAACATAAGACGATCATTCAAGGGATTCTATTGAAATGTTTGAACCCAAGGTTCTATTGGGTTTTTCATTTGAAAGATACTTTAAATAACAGTAGTCGATAATTGGGAGAAAACAATTTGGCTGGATTTAGAGATGAATTTTTATTTACGGCATTGATTTGTGAATAATAATCTCCGTGGAATTATTAAATCATGCTTGGAAAAAACGTGTGTTGCTAATCAATATTGTACAAAGCAGCACCATGAAATATCACATATACAAATTGTTACATTTGACGTAGACACAAATAAATTAATCAGCAAATTATTAAAATCAATTATGGGTATTCTTTAAATATGAACCTTAGATGTGTGTATGTATATTTATATGTATATATGTGTAAATATATGTATATATATTAATATGTGTATATATATACACATATATATGTCTATATATATATATGTGTTTAATATTTTTATTTTTTTATGAATATATATACATTATATTTTCTGTTTTTGGTTTTAAATTGAGGTTTTTTCATGTGATAATGAGGATATGGTATTTTTCCTATATGGCAATGACATATCACCGTGTCCGTTAAATAATTAGCAACGTTAGAGTGGATGTAGGTTTATGTCAAAATTTAAAAAATTTATCATAATTTCTATAAATTTCAGAGCCAATATGTATCTAATATTTATTTTATATTTGATTATTTTTTGTTGAGAATTTTAAAAAAAAATGATATGATATTTATTTATTACGTGACATATGACGTGACAATGTTTGGTCAAAGTTTAAATTTCCACATCATAGTTGTGGTTACCATATCAATGTTTGGGGTTAAGCATTCTCAACTCATCCCAGGAGGTTATGGCTATGACTTGGCGCCGATGGAGGTGGATATGAGAAGTAGGATAGAGTGCGAAGCGGTGGAGGAAGATGAAACGACGTTGATGTATTGTAACTGTGAAGCGGAGGAACCTTGAGGATGAGGCAAAAGGATAATCAATGAATTTACTTTATTCGCCGGTAAAAACTTACAATCGGCGATGGATTTATACCGAAGGATTTGGGGGAGCCGCTGCAAAGCAGCATTGTCGGTCATATTTCGCTGACCGGAGGGCATTGTCAAAATCCCAACTGAGAGGATAACTTACGATGACCATCAACCTCTTGCTGATCCATTCATGGAATCAACGAGGAACTAAGCGCCAGTGTGGGATGTTGTCGACTATGACAGAAGCTGAATTTGAAAATTTTTTCATGGTGATAAAGATCTACGTTATAAGACACTCACATATACTTAGCAACTAATAAAAAAATAATATGGAAATTTTTTGTAGGTATAACTTCGACTTTGTGAAAGAGGAGGCTTTGGATGGATGGTACGAATGGGTTAAATTGAAAGCCTGAACAATACGAAACATCTCATCTCTCTTCAACGCATTCCCAAGACCACTATTATAGATTATATCCTAATAACCACTTCGTAAATTCATCTCCTTTTAATTTAAAAACGAGTAGATAAAAAGATTTATACACGATTTATTTAGTTATAATTTATTTAACACATTCAAATATTCTGAAAAAGAAAATTGTTTGTATAAAAATTATATATATCATAACCACCTTTTCCATTAGCATTTGATCTCAAAATTCTTCAATCATAAATCTTTTCATACCAATCCCTTTGCACGCCTTTCTCCATGTCGTTGCAAGTTGTTCCTTCTTGAACATAGAAGAGCGTGACACAAAACTAATATACGTGATCACGACATCTCGCCAAAATCCTATTTTGAAAAAACGCTTCGATACCTTTAGTATCCATTTGGTTTATAATCCTTATTATTTATGCATAAATTTTTTTTCTAAATTTTATTTACTAAACAAAAACATAAAAACAAATAAATTTCCGATTCACGTGAGATTCTATTTTATTGGATTATATTTAAATTTTATTGTATTTTTTTCCTTTTATTCGGATTCAATTTTTAAAAAATTATTACCATTTAATTTTTTTATAGAAAATTGTATTGAATTGTTTAGTGTGAAACATCATCACCATCATTATTATTATTATGTGAATATATACATAAATATAAAAAAACTGACATATTATATTGATTAAATACATATTTCACCGTAAAAAATATAGAAAATTAGTATTCAGCATATATACAAAAATAATTTTATAATATAATAATATAATGATGTCTATATTCCTTCATCTTCTCCCTTCTCTATATAGATCGATATATAACTTTTATTATCTTCATATAAATGATTTTTTAAAATAAAATAGCAAATATTTAAAATAACAATAAAAAAAAAAGAATAAACCGCGCATCGCGCGGGTCATACCTAGTTCTTACCAATAAAGAGATTTGTGATGGAAACAAAGACAAAAAGGACTTGGTTCAAATAGCCAAACACTTCATAACAACACATACTTATTAAGTCTCGGAACTTCTGAAGATCATCGCTTCTTGAGGTATTTCTCTTTTGGCATTCTGTCAAGTATTTCTGTTGTTGTGGCACATCTTGAAATTGCTCTCAACTGGTCAAGAGTAAGAAGCAATTAGATTAATGAACCAAACAAGCTATAAGCACAAATCTTTGGAATACAACTTAAAGATTAAGAATTTCACACGATTCATGCCATAATTTGCTCAAGATCCGACCTTTACAATCTCTCAAAAGACTAACCCGGATTTTGCTTCAATGCAAACTTCTTATAGCTTCCTAAAGATCCAACATTAACCTCACATGAACTGAAGGCATATACACACAGAGAGAGATTGCCAACTGGAATTGAAGAAAGGAAGATACATGAATATTCAAAGGTCCATACGTATGAAGGATCACATAAGACACTTCACTGGTCAAAAGCTGAATCTCAAACAAATGCAGAGGTGAAGGTTAAAATTCAACACCTTCCTACCACAGACTGCTAAATGCTATCAGCTAACAAGCCATTGTCTTCTCGTAAAATGCTAAATCATGGATCCTAATGATCGAAATCTAATCGCATAATCCATCTCTAAGTCAAAGACAGTTTCACAAGATGAAATCTCTAACCTTTTTGCATCATCTCAACTTCTCTTTGCCGGAGCTCTTCTTCGCTGCCTCCATCACCTTCTCAAGATACCCTTCAATGGGCGGCGTCAGAGTCGCCATGAATCGGTTCGCCGGAAAAGGCGTCAAATCCGGCACCAACGCCGCTTCCCTCAGCTTCTCCGGCAACGCCTCGATCGCCGCCTTCTTCATCTTCAGCAGATTAGACTCCGCCGCTTGCCTCGCTCTGTGCCGTCTCATCAGCACCCGACTGTACTCCTTCGCCAGCCTTCTTCCGTCCTCCACCGTCAGCGCGTACTTCGGTATCTTCTCGGCGTCGACGAGCCCCAACGAAATGAGATCCAATCCCGTCGTCCCCATCGGCAAAGGTTCGTCGGGGACTCCCATGGCGGCTCGTCCTCCTTTCTTCCGGATCTCGATCTCCCTCTGAGTTTCCTTGCTGATCAACCCTAGCTTCTGGCGCTCGGCTTCTCTCTCCTTCGCCTTTGGCGGTAAATGGCGAACTGGGCAAGGCGCGCTGAGGCACGAGTCGAAGAGCTTCTGTTTCTCGTCGGAGATCCGTCCCTTTCCTTTGACCATATCATCGCCATCTCCGCCGCCACCGCCTTTCTTCGTGGATACCTTGTTGCGCTTGAGCGGTTGACCCGCCTTCAGCTTCGCCTTTCCCTTAGGGGTTCCACTAGCGGAGCATCTCTGGAGAAGGTGGTGACTCAGTGAGTCCATAACGGGTTTTGGTCTCGCGACTCGGATCATGCTTTTGCTTCAACTGAGTTTTGGACTCGTTGCAGCTTCTTCGTCTGAAAATGGAGGTGGCGGTGAAGGGTTTAGGGCTTCTGATTTACAAGAGTCAATATGACGTCGTTTGAGAGTTACGAAGCGAGGGTATTTTCGTCAAAATATTTACTCAGATAAATTCCACACTTCCATTTTTTAGCCTTTCTGGTTCTTTCTCCGTCAAGCCGCAGATCGATCACACTCCTCAGAGTCTCCGTTGACTGCTGAGACTCGCCGACGTTGATCTTCTTCGTTGCCCTGTACGGATCCGTATCCGATCTGTGAAACCCTAACTTCTCTAAGTTTGATCTTCGATCTAATTGTCGGAATATGCGGGTAGACGCGTAAATGTTTGTCTCCGAGTTTGGATTTTGACCAGGGTATCTGTTTCAATTTTCGGATGCAGTCATGGCCAGAGGTCTCGTAGGGTGTCTGGTTCTGATACTCACCGTGTCAATATGCTGTACTGCTTCAGTTTTCCAACCGATCTCGGACTCTCATCGGTCCACGGCTCTCGAGGTCTTCGCACCGGTCGATGGATCCTACGGAAGGTGGGTTCTCAGAATGCGATTCCTTTCTCTCGTCCAAGTATTTCTCAGTTGATATTTAATGGGTTTTGCGTCTTCGATTTTATTGGGTGGTGTCAAGATGTCATCTTTCGATGATCTAACGAGTCAGGTCAGCGGGAGATTGAGCGTAGTAGTTTAGTAAGCTTTAATCTGGACTTAGATCTTTCTCTATGGATCAGCCTTGATAGCATTTTCAAGGAAAGAGAAAACCTTAGTACAGTGTTTGGGTTTAGTTTTCTTCACCACATTTCACTCATTTCTCGAGGTATATTGATTAAGCTGTTTGGATTTAGGTTTCTTACCGGACCACATCTTTCTGAATTCCTCCTGATTTGACTCTTCAAAGTGTGGAAATGTCACGTTTCTTGTAATTTTTTAATCAGCTTGGAGGAGGCATATGAGGCACTAAGGACGCTAGAGGTTCTTGGAATTGAGAAAAAGTTAGACGTGAGCACTGCAACCTGTGGGAATGTAGCTAAAGTTCTTGGCTCATCTTCGTCGGATCTAAAGGATGTGTTCTATGCTCTAAAAGTTAGTGGTATTCTGAAATGTAAAGGTAGTGAAGATGTTCTTAAGGTAAGGAGTTACTCCCCCCCCCCCCCACTCGGAAAGGGTTTGCTTTCAGAAAATGGAGTACGAGTTCAGTTGTCTTGTTTTTCCTATTCTAAAGGGCATTTCTTCTCGACTTCAAGCTGGTGCTAAAGACGCCAATTCATTGTTGGACTTCTACTATTCTGTCAGAGGCATGGTACTTGTTAAGGTAATACTAATTAGATCTGATGGTTTGCTCCTTTTTCCTCAAGTGTATCTTGAAGAGTTTTCCTGAATTTTGTTTACATGTAGCAAGTATGACATAGTGCTGCTAAAGGCCTATATAATCGTGGTCATTAAATCTGATACAACTCTCCAGCTTTTTTAAAAGCTTTATCAACACATCCTCGTCTTTAAAGTGTTCCATAAATGCAGGAACAATCTTCCGGAACTGATATAAGTCTTGGTGATGCTGAAGGGATTTTTCGTTCTATCAAGGTCTGTACTGTTTACTTGGGCTTCCATTGCTTTCTCATTTGTTACGAGATGAGAATCTATCAATGGTCTATTGGAACTGCTGACTAATAATAATATACTATTACTATCCAGTAGAAACAAGGAGATGCATATTTTAACCATTTCGAAATGATGTTGATGGCTCCTTTGTTAAATTGATTTTACTGTCATCTGTTTTATAACATTATCTATTGTTTTGATGTTTTCCGTAATAGTATTTGGCTGCTGTGGTGCATTTGTTTCAGGCACTTAGCCAGAGTGATGGAAGATGGCGTTACAGCTCCAGCAATCCTGAGTCAAGCTCTCTTGCTGCTGGTAAATCATTAAACATGGTTGGACTGGACAGAATCATGCTACTTCATGATGTTTGATTTTATTATATAGATTTTTTTCTAGCCCTTACAATTTTTATTTTTTCAAATTGTTCAACCCTTTCTCTGATACATTGTTTTTTTTCCTCAGGCTTAGCCTTCGAGACACTTGCTGGAGTGATTTCATTATCACCTTCAGAGATTGATCAATCATTGGTAAGTCAGACTTTTCAGTCCACAGTCCACTTTTGAGATTAGATTTAGATGACACACCATAGGACCTCATGGTTTCACTGCCAAGGTATTTGTCTTTTCGTCTGGAATTCTCTAGGTAGAAATTATAAGGATGTTCAATGTCAGAAATTTTAAATTCAAGTTAATAGTGTGAATTGGTTACAAGGGAGATAAAATATCTACCTCAGTCTTCTTTATCTTATGCTTTCATTTCTTTTGTTCATCTATTTATCGTGCCGTTTGTGTTTTCCTTCTTTTTTGGGATTTAATTCAGTATTCGTTGTTACTAATCTTGGTGGTTATGTGGATTAATTTTTACCTGTGACTGTCATCTTGTAGATTCAAGCATTGAAGAAAGATATATTGAAGCTTTTTGACAGTATTGAAAAATATGGTATGCAGATATCTTCTATATGAAGAAGTTTGAAAGTTTCTCTCCTGGACTGGAACTAGCCTTTCACTTTTTTATGTTGGATTTTTCCATTCTTTCACTTTTTCGTCTGTTATTTGCACATTTGGTTATGTCATGCATCGCAACAGTCATTCTGTAGAATATATTGCTGACTTTTCTTTGCACTTCTATTCTATGAGCTTCCCTCCTAAATTGGAGATATGAAAATTTCCTTATGTTACTCTTTTTTCTTCAGTAGGCTTTATTTTGTGGGGTTTTGATTCATGTCTCTGCTCTTGCAGGTGATGGAGCACTGTACTTTGATGAGAAATTTATTGATGCACACGAAAATCAAGGCCCACTCTCAACGACTGCATCAGTTGTTAGAGGGCTTGCGGCATTTGCTGCCACTCCGTCTACAAAGTTGGATGTATGCCTCAACAATTTTTTTTTCTTTATAGCTTATTCTGCTGACTTGTTGGTATTACTACATCTTCTATCTCTACTTTTCTAATGCAGCTGCCAGGAGATAAGGTGTTGGGGTTGGCCAAATTCTTCCTTGGTGTTGGAATTCCTGGTGATGCGAAAGACTTCTTCAACCAAGTAGATGCATTAGCTTGCTTGGAAGACAACAGGCAAGGCTATTCTTGCACTCTGCTTTATACAATTGGCTTCAAATTATTTGCTCTGTGTACTTCTGAAATAGTTTGGAACCATCCTTGAAGTAGGCTGAGTGAAAGATAATTAGTAAATGAGCACAAGGGCTTATAGTTATATGTGATTCTTTTGGATAAACCGATTGTATTTGATAGAGCATGCATTCTTTTAATTGTTGAGATGCTACCAAATTTTCTGAAATCTTGTGCCCTCCTTCCTGGGATTGTCTACAAAATAATTGTTGGAGAAATTATATCTTTTGAGGAGAAAAAATAATAAACTTATTTACTCAACGACGCTTCTAAGGTTCTAAAACATGTGAAATTTCATTCATTTACTCATGGTTTATCCCACAGTTCCTTGCTGTATTTATATTGGCTTGAATTCTCTTTATCAAATTATGGTTTATTTAATGGAATTCTTTAATATTTCAGGTTTTCTGTTCCACTCATATTATCACTTCCATCTTCTGTCATATCATTGACGAACAAAGAGCCTCTGAAGGTAGCCAATCAAAGTCTGGCTGATGTAGTTCAAGATATTCTATGCTTTTCTATTTTTATCTTGGGTGTTCTTTTCATTTTTAGTATGCTTTCATATGAATACATTAAAGTTAGAGCTCTTGGTATGTGTAGTTCATTTGTAGTTAAATGAGTTTCCATTAATATCTTAGACCTCACTGTGGTCCTTGACCTTCCATCCTTCTTGACGCTGTTTTTTTTAGCAGGCAAAACCTATAAAGTAGGATTTTCTGGCTTCAGATACCAGATACGCTGTGCTCTTGATTACTTGAACTATAACTCTTAACCTCTACTGCTTGAATGTTGGACTTCACCTCATATGTCATTCATAGTGTATCCAGGCTCGTAGCATTTGTATGCATCATGGAGAGATCTATAATTTTAGGCATTTTGGGGATCTACAAACTGTTTGAATTTCCCAGATATATGTAGTTGGCTACATCATCCATTACAGTTTCTTTACCAATATTATTGTTATTTCACTGGTTGTGATATTTTTATGCCTTTTGAACTTTGGTTAGGTTAAAGTTAGCACTGTACTTGGTTCTAAGGCACCAGCTCTTAGGGTGAAGCTTGTTCAAGCTCTCAGTTCTGGATCAAAGGGTAGTTCTGTTATTGAGAGCCAGGTAAACAAATAGCTCGCTGTTTGGTTGTACTACTTACACGTGTCGTTACTAAAACTGTCGCATTCGCTGTATGGAAAAGTTGAGATGTTTTGTTAATTTCCATGGTACAGGAGCTTAAATTTGATGCTGACAGTGAAACACACTTCTGGGACTCTTTTCCCAAGAACTTTGATGTTGGAAAATATACTTTTGTACTTGAGGTATTGCTCTTGTTAGCTTACAATTCCCAAAGACTATACATACATGTATGCCTGTTTATAATATGGCAAGCTTTATTCTTCTCAGATTGAGCTGCAAGATTCTGAGCTTGAAAAAGCATACATAACTGAAGCCCAAACGAAAGTTCCGGTGTTTGCCACGGGGCTTATTGGCATTGATAATGCTAAAATTGCTGTGCTTGACAGTGATGAGGGGAGTGTTGAATCACAAAAAATGTATGTCGTATAATTATCTGACAATGGTTTTGCTTTTTATCTGCTACGTTTGATTGCCCATTACCATAGTGAACTCATGCCCTTTATTACCTATAAATGTTTTGTTTAAGCTTTCCTTTGTGCTTATCTGTATGTTTCTTTTCTTGGTTATTTTTTGGACTTCTGTAGGCTAGATTTGTCTAAAGATGGAGTTGTATCACTGTCTGCAAACCACCTCCAAAAGCTACACCTGTCCTTCCAGTTGATAAGTCCTTCTGGACGTGTGTTTAAGCCTCACCAGGTTTGTCTGTTTCATCTTCCTCCATTAATAATGGTCTTGCCGTTTCTACTTGTTAACTTGTTTACTTCATTACAGGCATTTCTCAAGCTGAAGCACGAGACACAGGTCGAGCATGTCTTTCTTGTGGCGAATTCTGGAAAGAAGTTTGAAATAGTTCTAGTTAAGTTCCTTGAACTACATCTCGATTTACTTTTCAGTAAATTTTAGGTGGCCTGCCTGCATCTTGGTTGGAGAAAGTTGGTAAAAGTTTCATCAGGAAACTAACTGGCAATATTCTTAGAGATCAGATGAAAACTAGGAAAGAGCGTGGGGGTGACACTTACTAATATTTGATTATTTTTGACATTTTCCAACAGGATTTTCTTGGGTTGGTTGAGAAGCTCTATTATCTCTCTGGAAAATATGATATCCAGCTAACTATTGGAGATGCTGCTATGGTAAGTATTCTTGTTTTGGCTCCTTTACTAGTGACTTTGTCGCAAAGCTCTTACTATTATTATTTTCTTTGTTTTTTTCCAGGAAAATTCTTTATTGCGGAACATTGGCCAGATTGAGCTAGATCTACCAGAACGTCCAGAGAAGGCACCTCATCCTCCTCTACAGCCTGCTGACCCTTACACAAGATATGAGCCAAAAGCAGAGATAACACACATCTTCCGGACTCCTGAAAAGCGTCCACTGAAGGAACTTTCACTAGCTTTCCTGGGTCTCACCGTTGTACCATTTATCGGTTTCCTCATCGGGGTCAGTTCTCTCTCACCGGACTTTGAGAATTCTGTTAAACGCAGTTAGGCCTATATATCTAAACGTTTTTTCGTGCGTGCCAAGTATTGCTGTAAAAATAGGTAAATGTGAGTTTAATCCATGCCTTTCTGTGTCTTTAGCTTCTGCGGTTGGGTGTGAACCTGAAGAATTTCCCATCATCGGCTGGACCTGCCACTTTTGCCATGCTCTTCCACTTTGGCATTGGAGCTGTTCTGCTTCTCTACGCCCTTTTCTGGTTGAAGGTATGCCTTTTTTTTTTCAACTGGGGCTTGCTTCCTTTCATTTCACAGCTTCTTGAGATTAGAGAAAGTTCATCTCAAGATTAGAGAGCATTGCGTTAATTTTTTTTTTGGTTGGATATGCCTGCAGTTGGATCTGTTTACGACCCTGAAAGTACTTGCAATTTTGGGAGTATTCCTGTTGGTCACTGGGCACAGGACACTCTCATACCTTGCTTCAGCATCATCAAACAAATTGAAATCTGCCTGAGAGAGAGAATTCAGTCTGTTTCCATGGAGTAGCTTTTCAGTTTTGTAGCACTACTGTTATGGATATTGGTAAAAGAGCCCCATCCACCACTCCACAGGATTCCAGCTTTTAATACTGCAAGTTAGTCTCAGAGATATATATAAAAAGGAGCTTCATTACCCGTTTTCAATCTCTCTCCTTCCTTTCTTAAATCATACAAACTAGATGGCTTCATATAATTAACACTTTATGATATTTTTCCAATCCAAACCGGATTCAGTCTATTATGTCCTTGGACATAAAACAAGATTTTGATTTTCAGGCAGAACCAGGCACTGTTCTAAGATTCTGACTTTCGTTTACACGGACAGAAGCCACGGTCCCCCCATAACGGCTACCGGAACGACAATATTCTAAGAACAATTATTTTGGTTCGGAGTTTCAGCAAACTACCAGAGAACATATGGGGCAAAGAAGAACTTTAATAGACCTCAACATGCCATTGTTTGTTCTTCTTGAGCTGAGAGAGCTTCTGCTCCCAGCTTTCGCCTCTCTCCTCGGCAACCCTCTTGAGGGTGTCTTGGATCCCCGGCATCATCCCTTTCAGACCGCAGAAGTATATGTGGGCCCCATCGTCCAGCAGCTTGAATATCTCGTCGCTGTATTCCTCGATCTTGTCCTGAACGTACATTTTCCCTCCTTTCTTGTTCTGCTGCTCTCTGCTAAGCGCCTTGTCGTATCTGAAGTTGTCTGGATAGTTCTTGCGGTAGTTTGTGAACTCCTCGTCGTAGAGGAGACTGTCTGAATTGGCCACCCCGAGGAAGAGCCATGCAAGACCATTGAACCTGAAATTAGGCACGTCCTCCATGAACATTCGCCTGAGGTATCCTCTGTACGGAGCAACTCCAGTACCAGTGGCAATCATTATGTGAGTGGCGTTAGGGTCATCTTCAGGCAGAAGCATTATCTTCCCTGAAGGACCTGCAAATGTAAGTATACATCAGCGATACATTCAGTGGATTCATCTCTCTCTATAGCTGCAGAAACAGATTTTTAATCACTAGTGGATTGGTTAATGGTATGGTAGCCTACCGGTGATCTTGACCTCATCGCCGGGTTTGGCATTGCATAGGAAGTTGCTGCAAACACCATCCTTTGAGGGATCCTCCTTTCCTGTCTCTGGATCATAGTAAACAGCTCGACGAACACAGAGACTAGCTGTCTTGCCGTCAAAGGAGTCTCCATACCTCGTTGATGCAATTGAGTAAAGCCGAACATTGTGAGTGTTCCCGGGTTTCTTAGGGTTTTCACCCTGCACAGACCAAACATATCATACGTCACATGAGAAAAGATACTCCACATCAAGGGAAAAGTATTCTTTCATGACAGTTGCCATTTCCATATCATTAACATCCAAGAACTCTTTTCCCATTGGAATGCAGATTAAAAAAAACACATGCTCTTGGTGAAAATGCAGCTTTCCAACCAAAGTCAACCAGCTATGAATAAGAGCATAGAATCATGCCACACAAGTAATGACTTACAGGAGGAATGACTCCATAGCTCTGCCCTTCCCAGTAAGGAACATTGCCACCATGATCGATCACAATGTGGCAAGTTTCTCCGGGGGCTTTGGGACCCACAAGCCTCTCGACCGAAACAATTGTGGCGGGGTATGGTTCCTTAGTCTTGTACAAGTGAAGTGGAGGATCTTTGGCATCCTCTAGTTCAAGTGGATTCACTGAGACTTTGGATTTGCTGGCTTGTTGGACAGACATGCATATCGTGCCTCGTTTTCTCGTCACACGTAAATTTTTACATCTCGACTCCAATCTCAGCATAGGAGTCCATGGCTTCTGACCAAAGCTGATACTTTGCACCTGAAGAAGTTCCATGGAGCATAGAAATGATGATGACTACAAGAATCCTTAATGAGACTTCGCTTTCACTATCTGACACCCATTGATCAACATCAAGCAAAGTGCCTGGACTTTACTGGGCATGTTTTCAAATTGTCAATGAATCTGCGGGTTGGTTTGCCACATATATGTTCCGCTGCATATTTTACCAATGAATCCTTTTTTTCCCATTCCACCATTAATCTAGTTCTAAGACTGTACCTTCTAGGACCAATTTAGGACAAGAAACACAAAAACGAATGGGTATCAATCAAAGTCGGCACCTTTTCTATGCATCTAAGAATCTCAAACAACATAGATCAATGATAATCAGTAGCCAGATCGAGTTTACATACCGTAAACATCGATCCACTTGAGCTATCGCCCGAAAGGAGGGGCAAAACAGACATCTGCGAATCAACACCAGAACCCCATTTACATAAGAAAATATCCGCAGTCGCTCTGATAAATTTTAAAAAAAAAAAACAAGAAAAGATCACAACTTTCGACATGGGTCCGCTTCCCCAATACATTTTTATCGTTTTCTCAGGAAACAAACAGGTCAAGGAAAGCGAGTCATGGAAAACCTGAGAAAGAGAAGCAGAGAGGGCCATGGCGATGACGAGAAAGGGGCGAAATTTCCAACGTAGGAGAAGAGAGTTCTAATGGGATCGATCGGGTCTGAGAGGAAGAATAGTGGAGAAGGCTGAGGAAGTTGAGGGTTTATAAGGGCGGGCAAATGAATGAGAAGACGATCCTTTCAGGACCTGGAAAGGACACCACCAACTTTCTTCTGCAACTGATCGCTCAAGCCTGTCTTTTTTTTTCCAATTCTTTATTCCTTTTTGCACCGATTTTATATTAGGGGCATAATTTATTAGGACATCATCTCAATTATAGAACAGTTCTGCCTCTTTTGTTTGGATCGAAGCTTGCGGGTTTTATCTGGGTGGGGTGCTTGTGCTTTTGAACACCCCCTTTAGCTCTTTACATAATTGGAAAAGATTAAATCCAGATTAGCATTTTATGAAAAAGATTAAATTCAGAAAGAGAACAAAAAACAGGCTACAAAAGTTACTCATGTCAATGTCTCGAGCAGGGGCGGGAGGAGGTACGTACAAAGTGACTTTGGGCAAATCTACTGACTCACAATTTCTAACTTTCACCCATACATATATCTTAGTTCAATCATATATATATATATATATATATATATATATATATAAAACACCACATCAGCTACAATATAATAATATTAATAGCTAATGGTATACTTAATTAGTGTTTGCTCCCATGGAAAAAAATATTGCAAAATATACAAATGTATGGACAGAAAAAAATGGTTTATTTTCAAAGAAAAACTAAGTTGCTTATTTAAACTCAATCAATAATACATAATACATTGCTCGGTAAAATTTGTTGACATTAAGTCAGAGGACTATAACTTCACAAGAGTCGATACGTGAAATACAATGGGAAAAAAAAAGCACCTGAAATGATAAACGTTCTGCCACTCAGCGTTTCCATAATCCTGCAAAATATTTTGAAAAACAAAATTATTCATATCCCTCGAAAATAAACAGTAAGATATCTAACCGTGCTGAGAATATGACGTTCCACACGAACCATGGGGTGAGTAGCTTCCGTGTTGGCTGCATTTGTTTCATCTTCTGGTGCATCCCCACAAAAAAAAAAAGATGGACCGTATGCGAGGATTTATACACTCGAACTCAGAAGCAGCTTTCTGCAGTAACCAGAGACATGGCCTTCAAGAAAAACCCGATCAAGATCACGATCTCAGGTGGACTTCTTGCCGGAGAGGATGATGGAAATTTGAAGGCCCCGGCTGAAGGCTTCATTGAACAAGATCCGCGCCTGCATATTCTGAAAACCAGGCAGCCATGAGAGCAACGCGACCGGAGCCATTACGATCAATCCGAATATCATATCGTACAGGCGAGCAACAGACACGACTGTGTCCCATACCACAGTGGATTGCAGAAAGGGTTTAAGTACTTGTGCTATGGATATCAGTCCCCAACCTGTCGGAATGAACGCTAACAGGCTTGTGACCATGTCCGAAAACGTAAGTCCAGTGAACTTGAGCAACATCACCATCACGAGTACTGTCAGCCCAATCACAGACAACTGAACAACCCGGTAATATATGTGCTGCTTCACGGCAAATCTCTTCTGAGCATAGATTATAGTTATGTATATCCCGACAGCCACGATCAAGAATGCCCAAGAAGCCAAGTAGACTGCGATGCTGGTACTTTTGCCTACGATGTCGAGTTGGTAGACGATTCCGTACTGGAAGAAGAAGAATCGAAGGTCCAACACAATCTCCAACAGCTTTCCCCAGAGTCCAGTCGTTCTCAAATGATCCTGCTCCTCGTTCCACCATGTCTGCCAGCTCTGATCTGCTTTTGTAAACAGCCCACCTTTAGCCCATATCCAGTTCATGAAATCATCGAAATCGTAAACGGTTTTGAGCCAATCAAAACCAGAAGGGTTGAAGAGAAACGGAGAAATAATCCACGAGACAACGAGGAACCAACTTGAGATTGTCATCAGTATGTAAACAAAGGATTCCTTAGCCAACGGGCTATGAGACGCATACACCAACAAGATAATCCCGAGCTCAATCGCCTTGATGAAATGAGTACGAGCATACAATCTGTAATTCTCAGCAAATTTCTTATGCTCCACCACGAAACCTCGTCCAGTGGCTCGGTACTTGGCTCCACCATGTAGGATAGTCCGGCCAAAGAAATGGGTTCTAGTTCCCATTGAGAAAGTGTAAAAGAAGGACGCGAGCTCTAGCTGCATCGTTATGAAATCCCAAACTGCAGGAAGAAATCCATGCTCCAGAGAGTTTTCAAGAATCATAGGAAGTGCAGTGAAGACACCTAACTGTATGATAAATTGCTGATTCAAAATCGTGCCAAGAGCCTTGTTACTGCTACTTCTGTCCTTTGCCACTTTCTCAACTCCACTCAAAGCCAAATAAAGCCGCCCCCACAAGAACGCAAAAACGGTTAATACTATCATCATCGTGTTGAAGTAGTAGCCAACCGTCGACAGTTCATCACGTAACTTCTTAACTAGTGTCGCTTTCGGGCTCAACAGCTGTTCTTCGGGTCTGAGGTTAAACTGCATAGCGCTTGCAAAGAACTGAAACCTAAGTCTTAGCTGGTCAATGTTCCGAATCTCTCCCAAGTGTGAAAACAGACCAACTGATGCACCGACAAGGGATGAGTACATTGAATACCAAATTTGAAGATCCATCAGGTAAACCAACACGACAGGGAGCCATAGCATCACTACCGCCATCCTGTTTGTGCTGCCAAAGGTCGTGTAGAAGAAAGAAAGCATTCGAAAGAAATCCAACCTGTGACCCAACCGGTATACGTCCCTGCTCAATGCCTGCTCACCATTACCACTGGCCACCTTGGCTTCGAACATGGATATCTGATTCAAACCTACATCCCTGCCCTTACCTACCTGTATGTACTCATGGTGAGTCACATTGCCACCTCTTAAAGTGCAATTGAATCCAGCAAATATGTCCTCGCTGATGTTTATCACTTTAGAGGCCTTGCTAATTCCGCCCCGAGGCATGAACCAGAACCGATCAAATACATCAGGGTGACCATAATGCATTCTCACTTTCAGAGGATTGGCAAGAACCCGTTGTCCTAGTGTTACAAAACTTGTTTCCTGAGCAGACATGAACCATGCAAGCGAGGAGACAGAACCGGTGAAGACTATCTCACGGACTCCGAGAATAGTTGGCCTCCTAATGCCATGATAGGTCTTGAATTCTTCCAACAAGTTCCTCATCTTAAGTGCCTCCTCGAAATAGTTGTCTTGATTCATATCGATGGTCTGAAGTGCATCGCCTCGCGTAAAGATTATGGAATGGTTTTGGTTTTCCGGTTTACCCTCCCCAAGTTTCAAAGGGCCCGGCAATCTGATTCGATATATTTCCACTTCTCTTTGAAGTTGCCGATCATATTTAACAAGAACCGAGTAGTATTCTACCTCATCCCTCCCCAAGTGTACCTCATCAACATACGCCACACGGAGGGCCTCGTTATTTTTCATCAGGAAGAGAATCTCTTCAGCCCGGTGGTCTCCTTTCGCTTTATGCTGTCCATAAACTTGACATGCCACAACATATGTGAATTTCATCATGGCACTCCCGTCTTCATGCCCTTTAAGCAAAGGATTTATACCGTTGGCCATCGTGTTAAACTCCTGAACAGATGCCGATTGGGTCGTACTGTTCCAGTCATTGTTAAAATAAAATGGATCACAAGCTTCAGACATCCTCTGAGACCCCATTCTAATGTCCATCTCAGAAGCAGAATCGAGAAAGGAAAGCATCTTCAGCGCCCTGTAATAGTACATCATTCCTCGAACTGTTCGAGACAAAGTCTGCCCTCTGTACGAAGCCCAGAGGCGGAGATCCCTAACCTTCTTTGTCCAAATGTCGTTCTCATCTTCCAATCCCTCTCTCCGCATCCGTTCCAGAAAGTTCCTCCATTCATCGTCGTATATCTTCTGCAGGTAAAACAGGGTGGAAATTCCATCTTCGTTCTCAGCTCGAAGCATTTCCTGTCTATACATCACTTCTTCGTCGTAGTAAGGAGTCAATACACTGAAAGCCATCATCTTCTCTACACTGGGAGCATGAGGAATGTTCATAAAGAGAGAGTTGCTAAAGAAAGCAAGACGCCGCCTGGCCTCGAGATTCTTGGGCACGTTATGCATCGGATCTCTAGAAGTAAGAATTGTATGGACCCTCCTGATCTGTTTATAAAAGAAAACATCCTCGGGATTAGGAATATCGACAGCATCAACAAACAACAACTCCTTTTCTGCATCCAAACTAACCGGAGCCAGACCAAGCTGACTCAATTGTGCAGTGGTCCTCTTAACTGTCGGAAGTTCCCTTACACAGAGTTCATACAGAGCTTGCAGTATATTCACAATCCTGTACACTTTACGGTCCGGGTCCATCAAATTCTCAAGGAGAGTTATTAGCTTGCCATGAATTTTGGGTAGCACTCTCAGCTTAAACAAGTCGGTCACCTTTTGGTTTTCGATGCTCTCGTCAATCTCCTCAAACAACCTGGTGACAATGGATTTCTCCTCGGTGCCATGCTTAACAACTCTGAAAAGCACATACTTGATGCTATCATAGGCTTCTATAACAGCGCATCGCCTATACTCGCTCTTGCAAATTTTCAACCAAAGCCAACGATCAGGAGCATCGGAGAGTTCATTTGCCTGACTAAGCGCGAGCAGGAGCTCGTTACATAGGAGGAAACATGGCCAACGAATAACCCTAATGTTCCAACAATTAGGTGGCAACTCCAGTAACTCCACCTCCCTGTCACTTATCAGGTCTTCCTCCCTAAATGAAAGGATTATCTCATTCCATATCAAGGCAAACCAAGTGGCTTCAACTTGGCTCGATTCAATTTTATTGTAAGGACGACCAAGCCCGTACCGCAATTTCAGCCGGTGGACAGCATCACGTAACTTCTTAACTAGTGTCGCTTTCGGGCTCAACAGCTGTTCTTCGGGTCTGAGGTTAAACTGCATAGCGCTTGCAAAGAACTGAAACCTAAGTCTTAGCTGGTCAATGTTCCGAATCTCTCCCAAGTGTGAAAACAGACCAACTGATGCACCGACAAGGGATGAGTACATTGAATACCAAATTTGAAGATCCATCAGGTAAACCAACACGACAGGGAGCCATAGCATCACTACCGCCATCCTGTTTGTGCTGCCAAAGAACTCGTGCCAGTTGTATTGTGCATCATTGAGCTGCAAGAGAGCCCTTGTCGGATCAACTAGAGGCTTGATCTGAAGGAAATAACTGAATATGAACTTAGAGGACAAGACAACAATCCAAAAAATCGTATACTTAACATTGTCCACCAGCCCTTCCCTCACCCCACGACCAACGAAAATCTTGCTGTAGAACCACCATGTCATCAAGTGTACAATCCCAAGATTCAGTTCCTCCAACCAGTTCCTTATCCAAGGAACAATAAACAACACAAGAGCCAACAATTCGGGGATGACGAACACGAAAACCACCTTGAGAAATGTCACAATCCTCTCGTTGGCAGCTGAAGACCAAAACCTATCTGCATTCTTCTGGCGCCAAATCAACGCATAGAAGACAGAAAACAGAACTGTCCAGGTCAAAGCCACCGCTGTCTTCAAAGACAATCTGACGAGAAGCCACATTGTTTCTCTACTCACCAAACTGTACTGTGTACTCCAGTCAAGCACAGATTGAAGTAACCTCAACCCCGCCCAAGAGATGAAAATGGTCAGTAACTCAACCTGCACGAACAAGACATGTAACATAAAACAGAAACACAACTCAACGCCCTTTATGGTACATGTAAAAACAAAGAAGAGGCTTGAACCTGCACATCGCGCTTTTCCAAGACCTGCCACGGGTAATTAGTATCATTCCAAGCAACGATGATGGCTGCCTGCAGAAACAGAAACAAAAGCACCCACAATCTATCGAAGCTTCTAAACACATTCCAGAAGGATCTCTGCTCCACAAACCCAGTCTTCCCAACTCTTCTGATCTTAGGAGTGGAATCGAAGAAATTGCTAGTGGCATCAAGGGGCCATTTGAGGCTCTTGAAACACCTCTTGCTCCAAAAGTACTCGTTAATGTCGTCGTAATTCCTCCAGGCCGAGTGGGGCTTCGTCCCGTTCTTGCTGCTCTCCACCTCCGCCTTGATGGTCTTGTAGATGGGCATGACCACGCTCTTGAGGAAGGCGCAGTCCCCAGAGAAGGAGGGCCAAAAGGGCATTCCCGTCATATCATCAATGTGGTCATCAAGCACCTTGTTGAGCTCCATGGCCATGTGGTGAAATATGTAGCAGAGACACTCCGGAGCAAATCGGAGATTCGCTGACTCACCCCAAATCAAGAGATACAGAGCCACGTAGAGCAGCTCTCGGCGAAGACCCAAAACGGCGTCGGTCTGGTGACGGTTATGGTGGGAGATGATGACGTGGCAACGGACCCCGATGAAGGAGCACCAAGTTGTGTAATTGTGAAGGAGCTTCTTCCGGAAGCGGCGGAGGACGGTGCGATCAAGACCGTCGGGGTGACGTGGCGGCGGCTGAAGCCGCATTTGGGAGTTCGCCAGATGGAGGACGAGGTTCTCCCTTTGGTTCCGTACGTTATCGGTCTGGAAGCCGAAGACGACGCCGAGCCAGTCCATGAGATCCATGCGAGCTGTCCACTCCACGAACGGCGGTTTCCGGAGGTCTCCGACAACTCGCAGCGCCGCCGCCGCCGCACGGACCTCCGGGAACCGGAGAGAAGGGTGCTCCGCCAGCAAGTCATGGATCGGGATGATGTTGTACGTCTCACGCGATGGCGCGTGAAGCTCTCCGCGCTCGCGCGCCGTCGTCGGACGGTGCCTCAAGCTCATCGCGCCTACAGTTTCTTCTTCACTGAGAAGACCTTTTTCAAAATCATTTCTTTTTCTGAGACAGAACTGATAAAAAAAACGAAAGCCCTTTTAATCAATTGTACGTGGCAATTATAATATACACCGTAGTACACGTGTTCCCGATAACTTGGTCGTTGGATCTGCTTGTGAGTTGTGATCGAACGGTCAGGAAGCGATGTACTAAGTGGGCACGAAATGGAGGCGTGTCGGGTGATGGAGCGAGGGACACGCGCGGCGATGGGCAGTGAGAGACACGCGCCATTCATTTATTGAGAACGCGGACATATATCCGTTATGATGCTGGGGAGGAAAACGGCGCTCCATTCATTTCAGGGGTTGATTTTGTATGCATTACTATTATAATTGTCACACACACATTTTTTTCTCATGGCCGTAACTAAAAAGAGGTAATTGATGGAGATAAATAACCAAAAATATAAAAGGAGAAAATTTTTAATTAAAAAACAAAAATAAAATGCTAATATAAAGCACACGAGTGATTGGTAAACACGTACGGGTGAAAAAAGGGAAGATATTTTTAATAATGTTAGGATGACGGGGCCGTGACGTAAGGAGTTTAACAGTCGAATCAAAAAAGCATCTGCGGAATTTGGATTAAACATGTGTACTTTTTACTGGGGTTTTAACCCTAATAACCCACTTGGGTCGCAGTAATTTCAGGGTACACCACCGAAAAAAAAAAAAAAAATTTGCGATCTTATTACGACTAATATATAACTAATATACAACTAAAATAAGAGTAGTTTATTAGTCGTAATAAGTTGTATATTAGTTATATATTAGTCGTAATAAGGTCGCAAATTTTGAAGGAGAGGAGGGCTACAGACAACAATTTTCTGCTGGAGCATTGGTATTTCCTAACTGATCGTTTGAGAATGTAACTTTTGTTGTAGCGTCTGGGTTACTTTACTCTGGGTTACTTTAGTCCAGCTTTTGAATCATTTTGTCATGGGATCTCCTTGTATTAGGTTGCTACGAGCAGTCATAGTTAAGGACTGGATGTAAATTTTTGCTACTACACATATGAATATTCAATCACATTTTACCAAAAAAAAACTTTCACTACATCGGGCTGAGGTGCCGTCCAGTAAATGTACCTCTCCATTCTGGGTCGTTTTGTGGAGGCTATCGGGTTAGCTGTTTCGAGTTCATGAATTTGCTTAGCATACCCGAGTATTATCTGTTCCATTCTCTTGGGATGACCTCTATGTTGAAAGATTAACTCATTTCTCCAACGCCAAAGAAACCAACAAGTAATCCCAAAAATACCGCTCCATGACAACAAGTGAAACTTCCATCTGCTATTCAGGTTACTCTCAAACCAGTCCAAGAATCCGCTCGAGAAGAAAGCCGATTGATCCGAGGAGTTGACAAGCTTCGTACATATTTGTCTCGCTATCCTACAATCTCTTAACACGTGTAATACAGATTCTTCCTGCAAACAGCCCATGGGACAGTTTTTATTGAGACCAATATTCCGTTTCACTCTTTCAACATTGGTCACAAGCTTCTGATGCAATACAAGCCAGAGGAAGACTCTTATTCTCTCAGGACCTTTCCATCTCCACACTTTCAACCAGATTGAGGAAGAATAATTCTTTATATCTAGACATAAATACATATAAGCACTTTTAACTGAACAACTTCCATTTTGAGAACCACTCCATATTATCTGATCCGTACCTGCAAACTGTCTAGGAGGGGGTTGACTCGCAATTCTTAGACACGTGGCATGAGGAATGAGTGTTGCAAAATTATCCCATATCCACGACCCCTCGGTAGATACAAAATCCACCACTGATATCGGAGAAATACAAGCACGTATTTCCTCCTGCACATACCCTATTAGAGGTTTATCTCTCTCAACCCAATTATCACGCCAGAAATCTGTATTCTTTCCATCTTGTACCAAGTTTGCACAACCACCCCTCATTGACTGCCACATCGATTTTATGCCTTGCCAAATGATCGAGCCACGTATTTGCATCTTAATAATTGGACCCATAACTCATCATTGCATGTAAGGAATTTGAACGCCAATTTCATCAGAAAAGCTCTATTAAATCTTTGCATCGATCGAATACCAAGTCCACCGCAACTTTTAGGCGAGCAAACTAATCCCCAATTCACAAAATAAACTTTTAAGAAAAAAAAAACCCAAGAAAAGATCCATTGTTTACCATATTTTATAGTTTTCTTGGGTTTTTTTTTTCTTAAAAGTTTATTTTGTTAGTTGATTAATGTAAACCCTAACATTCCAATAATAATTTACATTCTACCTTTAAAAAACAAAAATCACCAAAAAATTCTGATTGACAAATCACCAAAAGTTTCTGATTGAAAGTTTTTTTACAGTAAAACTTTGTAATGTATATATATATATTCAGATAATACTGATCGTCTTCTTCCTTTCATCCTAAGAGTCGAGAACATCTGATGTGATCAACACCAAAAATATTCGAGTTTTACTGTATTTACTTTTCTATTTGTTTTTTTCCCAGTTGTTATGTTTATTTTTATTTAAATAAAATATAAAATGAAAAATATTGTTTTGCAGAGATAATGGCATCAAAAAGTGCTCCGATGACTTCTACGGATCATGCGTATAAATATGGTACAAAAGATCTTAATAACCGAACTAATTTTACGTGTGCATTCTGTGGTAAAGTTATCAAGGGAGGAGTTCAACGACTGAAACAACACTTAGTTGGGGGATTTAGAAATGTGATCAAATGTCCTTGTTCTGAGCGTGTGAGATGAGAAGTATCGATTTTATGATGAAAAATGCAACTTCAAAGATTGAAAGTTAAACATTGCATAAAATTCTGGTTGATTCTCAATCCGATGATGGTTTAGATGAGGATGAGGAAGAGTTTGTTCCCAAAAAACCAAGAATGAAGAGTCCAACGGATGTGCCTGCGAATTCTCGTAGATTTTTCTACGATGCCGGGATTCCATTCAATACAGTTAGTTATCCAAGTTTTAGAGAGATGTTCGAAAGTATTGGACAATATGGTACGGGGTTGAAGGTATCTATACCATGCATGAGTTAAAAGTTTTGCTTCTTAAAGAGGAGGCAAACCATACCCAAATGCATATAAATGGGGAATATTACTCAAATAACCCACTTGGGTCGCAGCAATTTCAGTGTACACCCCCGAAAAAAAAAAAAAAATTTGCGATCTTATTACGACTAATATATAACTAATATACAACTAAAATAAGAGTAGTTTATTAGTCGTAATAAGTTGTATATTAGTTATATATTAGTCGTAATAAGGTCGCAAATTTTTTTTTTTTTTTCGGTGGTGTACACTGAAATTGCTGCGACCCAGGGGGGTTATTTGAGTAATTTTCCCCTTTTTACTAGCAGCCGAGCAGCGAATCTTTTCCAGTGCTAATATGTCTTCATTCGAGAAGCCTAAGATATTGTTTGTTGCAAAATAATAATAATAATAATAATAATAATAATAATAATATATTTGTTATTATACATAAATATAATTATTAAAAATCAGAACGAAGAAAAGTGAGAATGGGTTTGCTTTTGGTACTTATTTGACCATAACAAACTATATTCCATAATTTTGCAATCTATAAATATTTTGTGTTAGATATTTATATTTAATTGGGTATGAGATGTTGGATTGTCAACAAATACGTTAGGGAATTATAGTTGATTTATTTAATAACAAAATAAAATAAGATAAGACAGCGAAGAGAGAGCACGTAGCTCTCTGATTCATCCTTCATTCGCTTGAAATTCATAACGCAAGAAAGTGATTACACTTTCTCTCTCTTCCCCTCTTCCCCTCCCCTGGTAAGAACATCATCCAATCTAATCTTGTCTCAGTTGCCTTCGTATTTTTTCTCCTTTCAGATTCTGGTTCTCAGATCTTCCCTTCCTTCGATTTCGGGTTTTGCCTTCGTCGCTGAATTCGTTGTTTGATTCTCTGTAATTCGATCCCTGGACTTTGTTCGTTATTTTCGTCCTCGGAATGAGTCTGGGGATTGAGAAAGATCAAATTTTTTTTTTTAGGTCAAATTGTTATTTCTAAAGCATTTTTTCGGGGTGGGAATAAAAATCTATGTGGATGATCTTCGTTGGATTTGGTTTCTCTTCTGTGTCGAAATTGATGGGCTCGCATTTGATCGTTTAGCCCCCATCGAATTCCGTCGCGTTACTTTAGAATCTATACGGCTACGATGGAAGTTCATCGTTTTCTTTCTTTTTTTAAAAATCTGTTCCTTACAGAGAATTGTAATTTTTTTTGTAGGTTTTCTGGGTGTTTGATGATCGTTGCGCGTTAGAAGAGCAATGAGCAATTCTGCAGCCGGACTCGGAAAGCCTAGCTCAGGTGTGCTTTTGGTTTTTCTTTAAGCATTGCTTGACTGCACGGTTGAAATGTGGTTTATTGTTGGGAACGAACTATGGTGAAGAACAAGTTGTCGATTCATCTCCTTTCTGTCTGAGAAGCCCAGAAGATTTGTCTCTATCCACCCTATCAGAACTTTTCTGTACAGGGTTTCACAAAGTTGTTGGATTTTTCTATGTGAAATGTAGATTTCTTCCATGTTTTGGATTGATTGTTGCCGTGACTTTTGGATCTTGTGTCTCACATCACAGGTAAGAGGAGAATAAGGGATCTTTTAAGTCAACCCGATAACCGAGTCTGTGCTGATTGTGGTGCTCCTGATCCTAAGTGGGCGTAAGTCGTTGCCTTTAGGCCTCTTGATTTGCAACTTCACATTCATTTAGCTGATATGCTTTCAATCTATTGCAGCTATTTGGGTTGTGACCATACTTTGTCCTCTTGGTAAGATTTTATTAGATTGTTTAACCAGTTGATGCCATCTTTTCAGGTCAGCAAATATTGGAGTGTTTATTTGCTTGAAATGTTGCGGTGTGCACAGAAGCCTTGGCACTCATATCTCAAAGGTTCCTCTTTGCTTCCCTTCCATTTTGGTTCTTTTGGATTGTAGTGACAAACCTCTGGTTCTCCACCAGACTAGAATGAATATATACAGATGCTCATGTTGGATCTTTGTGAAAATAATATGTACAACTAAAAATGGTTCTACAGTAGGATGCAATGCCCTCTTAAGTTGGGTTTAGGAATCCCTGATTTTACTAGGCCAAGTTTTCTAGATTCAAGACTCTAACTCTAGTTGTATGGTTTTTACGTTGTGTCCTTTATAAGCCCTACTGATACTGCCAAAAATAACTAAAATGTACTAGTTTAAAAGTTATCATTTTCAGATGTAATTTGATGGTAATAGTAATGGGTCAACGTGTTTGGTGTCTTTCAATTGCTGACAAAATTAGAGCAGCCGTCTCTTTGATCTTTTATGGCTTTATGAACCTGGAAATAGATAGTCAATTTTAACTTTTTGGCCAATTTATGATGAAAAATCTTCGAGGAAAAAGAGAAACGAAAACTTTTTTTACGTTGCTTTGACATATCAATCAGCCGAAACCGTAGCCGTTCTGGGCACTTGGTAGATGTGATCATCATGTGTACATTTCTATTCTAATTTGCACTTGTTTTATTTCACATTCCATAGAGCTTGGTGCTGCAGATGATCTTTATAAGCTCTAGACAGATATACTTGCTCCCTTTGCTGAACCAAATTATTCTAAAGAATTATACCTATATCATGTCTCCAGGTTCTGTCTGTGACATTGGATGAATGGTCAGACGAGGAAGTTGATTCCATGATTGAAGTTGGAGGCAATGCCTCCGCCAATTCAATCTACGAGGCTTTTATACCTGAGGGGTGCTCGAAGCCTAGACCCGATGCCAGTCATGACCAGCGTATGAGATTTATAAGGTTGGTACGATATATTCTGGCTGAAATGATAAATCTGAACTCTGTAAAACAAGATATTAAACTTGAGATGAGTCCACCTTATCCCCTTAAGGGTAAAACAATGTGGTAAACTGGGAATTATATTTTCATATCTCGTAACTTTCCCTTTTTTGTCGCGATGATGACATGTTTTCTTGCCTGGGCCCAAGAGGCAGATTAGGTTGTCGGCCTGACTTAGTTATGTTCAACTTTTGGAAGCCCTTTTGATAGTTTGCTTAATTGTCTGACCAAAACTATAATAGAAATCAGTCTCAGACCAGAGGTTATCAACTGCTTATTGAGTGAGTACTAAAAGATTCTCAAATCATTATGTAGGTCAAAGTATGAGCTCCAAGAGTTTCTGAAACCAAGCTTGCGGATTACATCCGGGAAAACCTCTATAAAGAGTTCAGCATCTCTGACATCAAGTCTTTCTAGGAAGATCATGGATAGCTTTCGTACTAATTCATCACATCAGACGGTAATGCTTTTGTGTTTTTTTTCCTTTTTTGTTCTCTTCATGATAGAAATAGAGGGTACATTTGATCGTTTATAGATTTGGATGTGATGGAAACATTACATTTATGAACTTTTGCAGCGACATTTTGATTGTAAGTGTGATCTTGTGTGATGCACTTGGAGCAACATAAAACTAGTTTGCCTCGATGTGGTTCTCGATGTTAATACTTTTTCCCCGTTTGAAACTTGAAAATGGCAGCAGGAAGGCATGGTAGAGTTTATTGGAATGTTGAAGGTCATAATTAAAAAGGGCACCAATTTGGCCATTAGAGACATGATGTCAAGTGATCCCTATGTTGTATTGACTCTAGGGCAGCAGGTAACTGACACTTGGCTTTGCCTTGGACTTCCATCTCTCTCTCTCTCTCAATATTGAAGGGTTTAATTTCTCTACATTTTTGCCTTAGACATGTTTTGAGACTGTTATTGTTTGTGTTTAAAATTATGTTCATCTTGATGAAGAAGTTTGGTGAAGGTTTCACAAGATTTGACTAACTATATATAGGTGATATTCCTTTCTTTACCGTTACCAGACTGTTCAGACTGTGGTTATGAAGAGCAACTTGAATCCCGTATGGAACCAGGAACTCATGCTGTCTGTTCCTCAAAACTACGGCCCCGTGAAGTTGGTAAGATAACTTTTTTCTTCAGTCCCCGTACCATGTTCGATCGTTGCAAGATTCATCCTTTCAACTTGAGAAATGGGAAAAAAAAAGTGAAGGGCTTAATCTTTATGGATTTTGCATTGCTCTGATATTGCAGCAAGTGTATGATTATGACACATTTTCGGCGGATGACATAATGGGAGAAGCAGAGATTGATATCCAACCGCTGATAACATCGGCAATGGCCTTTGGGGACCCGGAAATGTTTGGGGATATGCAGATAGGGAAATGGCTGCAATCACACGACAATGCACTGATAGAGGACAGTATCATCAACATTGTGGATGGGAAAGTGAGACAGGAAGTTCAGATCAAGCTTCAGAATGTTGAATCTGGAGAGTTAGAACTAGAACTTGAATGGCTTCCCCTTGACCAATAGGCTACATGTCCATGCATACCAAGAACCGCCAAAAAATAGTTCTTTATATATATATATATATTGTATTCATTCATTTTTACCTTTTCTTTTTAAATTGGGTTAACTTATTCTTGCTTTTTGGAATTTGAAGTTTTGGATCTTTGATCTTCAGCTCCAACTGACAGGAAGTCTATTTGGTATTTGTTGTAATGCTCTTTTGATAGAGAGAGCTTGTAACTCAACGAGTATTATAATATTATATCATAATACTTTAACAAAAAAATATTATATCATAAGTAATTTCTGATTAATTTAGTGGATGTTGGTGATTTTTCTTCGATGAAAGAAGTATATTTTTGTATTTTTACTCTTCAATATTTTCTATTCTTATTATATATTTCAATTATATTTTTTCTTGTATTTAATTCTATTTATCTAAACTTACTTGTATAATTTAAGTGAAGTGCTAATTTATGAATCTAAAATGGAAACCAATTAAAGTTTAAAAAAAATTAAAGGTTCTGTTTCAACTCATGCATATCATTTATAATTTGACAAGTTATGTCTGATTTGTTTTATTTAAATTTCGTTGGGTTCGGAGTAATCTAAAATTTAGTTTAAATCAAACTGAAAGAAAATAAATATAGGTGTTTTTCAATATTAAATTTTTTTGAATTAAAAGGATTTGGATATTAGTTTGATTATAACGCAATTCAATATTTTAAATAAAACATAATTCTTTCTTTTTTCTTTTTGTGAAAAACAGTAAATGATTAAATTCGGGAAAAAAAATCACATATGCTACTCTATAAAGTACAGAAAATGTCCACAAATCACACTCGTGAAATAAACAAGTTTTTAAGCCATCTTATTGGAAAAAAAAATGAAATTATGTATGGCAATAATTGTTTGATATAGATAAAGAAATAAAATAAACAAATAAACATTGAGCCGCTTTAATTAAATTTAATAAAAATTGTGTTCTAACCGAACTTTTGCCACGCGCCGCGAAGCTTCAGATCGCCGAAAACAAGGGATTTGTGTGGACTATAAGGTGCCCATTTGAGGTCCGTGTTGCTAACGCGCTCAATCCGCGCGTATGATTTATAAGTGGGCCGGAATCATTCTATTCTTATAGAGACTGGGCTTTGACAAAACAAACCCACGTATCTACATGCAGTTTTTCATACATATACATATACATATATATATATATATATGTTACAATTTAGATCGGGTTGTGCATATGTATAGTATTAGATTAGATAATACAGGCAGATTTACTAATTTTTTACAGCTAATTATATTTTGCATATAAAAACTCTAAACTCTAAAATATAAAAAGAAAAAGAAGATTACACTGTATAACTTGAAAAAAAAAATGTCATGTAACCAAAATCGTAACACAAAAATATAGCTTCAATAATTTCAGTATGATTCTACTAATTTTTCCGACACTATATTATACAATACCTTAATCTTATTTTATTCTCAAAGGCTAAAACCCATTTGTAACGTTGACTTGACTTAACGATCTGAGCGTCCGTACAACGCTACGCGTTGATCCAACACACAGCAAACATGACGCATATAAATGTCGTCCGACCAACCTCCGACCATAACACACAGATGGCAAACTGGACAGAGCTCCCGCCGGAGATTCTGGTCTCAATCGCCAACCGCTTTGTTGGCGATGATCCTTTCGACGTCACACGTTTCCGCTCTGTCTGCCGTTCATGGCGTTTCTCTGTCCCTCGCCGGAAATCTTCGCCGGATCTTCCTCTCCGCCTCCCCGTCTGGTTCTCACCTCGTCAAAACGCCCCTCCTCCTGGACATTTCAAGCTCACTCGGCGCACCATCTATGCCGTCGAGCAAGTAATGGTGAACAACCAAGTTCCATGTCCAAAATGGCTACTCAAGCTACAAGAAATCACTCCGGGGAAGATGCGTCTTTCGCCGCTCCTCGCCAGCTACCAAATCTGCCATCCGCCGGAAATGTTTCCCAGGATCCTGGATCTGTCGAATCTTCGTGTCTCGACAATCAGCAGAGGATATGATCTCAATTACATGCCAGAAAGAGGCGTGAGTCTCTCCTTCTGCGGCGATTATTACTCGCTTCAAGCCGAGAGGGTGGCAATCTCCGCGAAATCTGGCGAAGATTTCGCCATCATGGCGATACATAGCGGAGGAAATCTCGCTTTCATGAAGGCCAGAGATGAGAGATGGACTGATGTAGATGGCCAAACCACCCGCTACGATGATATCATCTACCACGATGACAAATTCTACGCCGTTGATTGGATGGGGAAGACCTTTACCATTGATTCCCGATTCGAATTCCATCCTCATGAACTTGCCCAAGTGCCTGGAGAAGGATCTAAGAAACATCTGGTAGAGTCGAAGTCGACAGATGATTTGCTGATGGTCGACAAGTACATGGACGATGTTTCAGGGGAAGACTTCACCACGAAAACGGTACAACTCAAGGTTTACAGGCTGAAAAAAGAGTTGCAGAGATGGGAGGAAGTGGAAAACTTGGGAGACGAATCACTGTTCCTCGGCGATGACTGTTCCTTCTCTGTCATGGCAGAAGATCTTCCAGGTCTCAAAAGCAACTGCATATTTTTCAAAGATCGTCGCTTTAGTAGATACAACTACAATCCTGATTCACTTAGACAGGTTCTAAGCGATGATATCGGTGTTTTCACCTTGGATGATAAGTGTATTCGTCCTCTTACCGCCTACATAGAGATTTGCCTCTTGTTCTGGCCGCCATCAACAATGGGTCTCAAGCTCTGCTTCCAAAATCAACAGCCATGCGAGTTCTCGAGAGTTGAGCTCTAGAAATGGCTCTTTGTATCTTTGTGACAGTGTGTGTGTGTGTATGTTCTTCATAAGAAAGCTTCAATCTGTTTCACTTGAATCCAGAGATGAGACGTTTATAGGTTGCAATATCGGGTTTCATCCCGATCTTCATCATCTCATCGTGAAATTTCATGGCTTTCCTCATCTCCTTCGCACGACACATCCCTCGTATCATGATCGTAAAACTCTTGCTGTTCAAAGAGTTCACCCGTTTCATGTGCTCGAACACTTCCACCGCCTTGTCCACCATCTTTGTTTGCCCGATGAGCCGATCAAGAAGCGCATTATAAGCATTCACATCCAGACTGCCTTTCGTTTCCTTTATTTTCCCATGAAGTACCATCGCTTTATCGAGCTTTCCACTCGAGCAGTAACGATCCATCAACAGATGAGCAGAAAGCAAGTCAGGACAAAAACCCATTTCCAGAATCATATCAAGAAGCTCCTCTGCTCGATCCCACCTACCTTTCCGACACAGAGATGCAAAACGATTCGATACATTGACCGCTGACGGGATGAAGCCACGCCTTATAACATCTATCAACAATCCATGATTTTCCTCTGAATCATCATCTTCCCCGCAAAGAGCATCGGCAAATGCACTGTAACAATTCTCGTCAACTGTAACACCTTTCCTACAAATCAATCTATAAACACGAACTGCTTCTTCTGTTCTGCCTTTTCTAGACAGTGCCAATAACAGACAACCATATGTGGAGTCCTGCAATTTCACCGCTCCATCATAGGATTTATAGAACAGCAACTCAGAGGCATATGCTTTCCCCATATCACAAAGCCTTTGGATGGTTGAATCATTTGAGTGAAGATGTGTTATCTCCACCGATATTCCGACAACCTTATCAATTGTCTCGGCATCTCCCAATCTACAGGCATCATCTAATACACAACTGTAAGAAGAGAAACTCAGCTCGAATTTCCTCTCGCGCATTTCATCTAACACTCGAAAAACGGCAGTGAACTCCCCATGTCTGCTGTAACATTGTATAAGATTGCTATAAATTTCACAACTTGCAACACCAGTTTCCAGCAATTTCACTATGCTCCTGTATTTTCCATGTTCAGACAAAATCTGAGCAACCAAATTCAACGTTGAAGTATCAGCCACGGCCCGGCTCCGAACCATGGCGCTATACAGACAGCAAGCCAATCTGAACTGATTCTTTTTTACTAAAGCATGAAGAAGCGAATTGTACGCACGAAGGGAGGGTGAAAACCCTAAACTTCTCATTCCGACAAACACTTGCAAGCCGTTCTGACAGAAGCCCCTTTTGGCGTAACATTCAGCAACTAAGCTAAGAGAGACAGAGAGAGAATCTTTACCTTCAAACCACCGAGCCATGGAACCCACGACCAAAGTCGGAGGATGGGTCTCCACCAGAGAGCGCAACATCGTTTCGGCTCGTTCCGACAGACCCAATCCTGCAGCAATCTCGATGACCCGGCAATGGGACCTGAGATCCGGTTCGAAACGGAGATGGGTTTTCGCCCAGTCGAAGAAATCTATCGTGGTTTTAGGACTTGCCCGAGTTTTACGGAGTACCTCGAGGAAGAGCTGCGGCGTCAGCCTCGCCTTTGGGAGTCTGGGCTTGAGATTCCGGACAAGAATGGTCCAGTCACGACGCTGCAAGAGAATGGACGAGATTTCGGAGGCTAATCCGATCAGTCTGGCTTGGGTTTTCCAATCGGAACCAGAATACTCCGGCGCCGTTGAAGCCAACGCCGAGAATCGTCTGACAAGACGACGGACACTTCCGGGCAAAAACATCGTACCCGCCGTCTCTCCTAAACACGTAGCGCTACGTATTCTTCGTCCGCGTGAGGAGCACTTGGGTTCTTTAATAGTTTGTCCAAAAGTAACTGAACCACATCCACTTGCTGAACTGGTTGTTAGGGAATCGTGGAGATATACTTTTGCCATTTCTTGTTCTAGTGGCAATGAGGAAACTTCGAGTCTCTTAGCTCAGCTTCTGTTACTGCAGGTGAAAGCTCGCAGTCACCAAAGAATCATCAAGACTGACCAACTCCAAGTCCTTCCTCATGGTGAAAACAAGGTCCCCCATCAAGAATCTGCTGAATTCATTGGAGAAGAAGAGCAAATTATTCAAACTGTTTTAGGGCACAACTAGAGTGGCAGAAGAAGAGTCTCCCTTATTCACTGTCATTACTCAAAGAATGGTAACATTCCTCAAGGCTGAGAGCCAAGGATGGTAACATGGCTTGACCAGCTTTATCCCATCTCGGTAGAGACTTGGCTTTAAACAAAGGATGGACAACAATCAGAATCATCTGTATTAACCCGACAAAAATATCCGTACTTGTGTCTTTTCTCTGATTCACCAGAAAAAGTTGTATGAAACACTATTGCAGAGCATGATACAAGGTCATTTAATCAATTGTGCGGGAACATATATCCATGAGCATCAATAGAATCATCCCATCAACCATGGGATATGGGCGAATCACCATATCATCCGACTGAACTGAACAACGAAATAGGCATGCCTTGCCCGTTATTGTTCAGCAGTAGTACTGTCTGCAGTCTCCTTCCTTATAGCTTTCAGCCTTTCTTGAAGTTGCTTGCTTTTTTCAAAGTTGGCTTTCCGCTTCACAGCTTTCTGCAGAAACGTTGAAGATAAGTGAACGATCTGTGTAATCACGATGAAGACTTTGAGCCAGAAAGTGGAATGGATTTACCTCCTGCCGGAAACAGCGATCAAGCTTTACTTTGAGTTCTGTACACTCTCCAAAGAATTTTGCAATAGGATGGTCTATATGGCACTTCTGAAATTCCTCGATTATCTGGGATGCCATTAGATAAAACTTTAGATGTCTTTACTAAAACTGGTATACGCAACCATGACTGCTACATCATGTCGGTTTATGGCGATTAAACATAGAATTTTCCAATAGAACTATCAAAAAACAAGGATTATCATTTCCTTTTGGACAATGAACTGAACAAAACAGAACCCGGAAACACTACTATAAGACTGATACTCATTCTGCACAGAGAAATGACCACTGCAAACAAATGTAAATCCAAGATCATCATGAGCTACTACCCTCCTATCACTAATACGCTAAGACAATATGCTCATAAGATGCAGAGTCTGAACCCTAGAACAGGCAATACGCTGCAAGGAGAATGATTTACAAGGCCGGAGGATCAATAAAAAGAAAAGGAAAAAAAATCAAAGAAAAAGGGGGCATAACGTACAACTCACATCTGCACACATCGGGTGTTTGTGTAGTGTCAATGGAGGATGCATCTCTGTCTCCCGGAACAAATCACTGATCAATAGAATCAACATAGTATCAAAAAACACTCATTACCCGAGACATAGTTAAAGAAAGTCAGACGAAATCAAGGAACGCATAAACACAAATCAGTGAAGCCAAATCGGAACTCAAGAAGCCACAATCAGCAACATCAGATTCTTAATCCAGAGAACATTGAACCCAAAGAATAGATCTCGATCATCACCACGGTATTCGCGAGACAATTCAACACAAAGCAACAGACAGAAGAAACGAAATCTGGAAATCCAGAGAAAATTAAACCCAAAGTGAATTCTGCAGAAACCCTAATCGAAGGAAAGTAGAAACTCGACGTCGATGGAGTATCACCTGAGAAGCGCTTGGGAAAGCAGTCACTGAATGGATTTTCTTTGGAATCAAGACTACATTAGATATTACAATAAATTATGATAAATGGGCTTGGGAGTAGGCCCATTTCTCACTCGGCACTCGGCGGTGGCCTTATTTTAAGAGCCTACGGACTCCAAGAGTAGAAACGTTAGGATTTTTTATACGACACGATAATATAATATGATGATGAACAGACGAAGCATGAAACCGCATATGGCATACTTTACATGAGTGGCAGAATGTCGAGAGATTTATCAAGGTGAAATACACTTGTGGTCAAAGGGTCCATGGCTCTCACCATTACGCATATGACTGTGCATCAATCTCAGTTACCCAACAGATAGTATTGTACCAAGGAGGCATTGCCGGAAGTCGTTTACAGAATAAAAGCGCAATTCAAATAGAACACGATTACGAGAGAAGAGTACAGAATTATTACGGGGCCTTTTGACTAGAGCCCCCAACCATCAACAACACAGACAGAGTCACGGAACGGAAACAAGACATACTTTTTTAGACCAACCAGCCATATACTTTCAGAGACCACCACGCAGACGCAGGACAAGGTGGAGGGTCGACTCCTTCTGGATGTTGTAGTCCGCCAGGGTGCGACCGTCCTCCAGCTGCTTCCCGGCAAAGATCAGACGCTGCTGGTCCGGTGGGATCCCTTCCTTGTCCTGGATCTTGGCCTTCACGTTGTCAATGGTGTCCGAGCTTTCCACCTCCAGGGTGATGGTCTTCCCCGTCAGGGTCTTCACGAAAATCTGCATTCCACCTCGCAGACGGAGGACCAAGTGAAGGGTAGACTCCTTCTGGATGTTGTAGTCCGCCAGGGTGCGGCCATCCTCCAGCTGCTTACCGGCAAAGATCAGCCTCTGCTGGTCCGGTGGGATCCCCTCCTTGTCCTGGATCTTAGCCTTGACATTGTCGATGGTGTCAGAGCTCTCGACCTCGAGGGTGATGGTCTTGCCGGTCAGAGTCTTCACAAATATCTGCATACCACCACGGAGACGGAGGACCAGATGGAGAGTGGACTCCTTCTGGATGTTGTAGTCGGCCAGAGTACGGCCATCCTCCAACTGCTTACCGGCAAAGATCAACCTCTGCTGGTCCGGTGGGATGCCTTCCTTGTCCTGGATCTTGGCTTTCACGTTGTCGATGGTGTCAGAGCTCTCGACCTCCAAAGTGATCGTCTTGCCCGTAAGGGTCTTGACGAAGATTTGCATGCCACCACGGAGACGGAGGACCAAGTGGAGGGTGGACTCCTTCTGGATGTTGTAGTCAGCCAAGGTTCGGCCGTCCTCAAGCTGCTTTCCAGCGAAGATCAGCCTCTGCTGGTCAGGTGGGATGCCCTCCTTGTCCTGAATCTTAGCTTTCACGTTGTCGATGGTGTCGGAGCTCTCAACCTCCAAAGTGATCGTCTTGCCCGTGAGGGTCTTGACGAAGATTTGCATACCACCACGGAGACGGAGGACCAAGTGGAGGGTGGACTCTTTCTGGATGTTGTAGTCGGCGAGCGTTCGGCCATCCTCCAACTGCTTACCAGCGAAGATCAGCCTCTGCTGGTCCGGGGGGATCCCCTCCTTGTCCTGGATTTTCGCCTTAACATTGTCAATTGTGTCGGAGCTCTCGACCTCGAGAGTGATTGTCTTGCCTGTGAGGGTCTTGACGAAGATTTGCATCTGCGATACAGAAAACAAATGAATGATCCACTGTTCAACTAGGAGGCTAACAAGGTTATATTAAAAACCTAAGCCAAATGGATACAATCCAAAGCAAGTTAGATTCATATGAGCACATAAATCCTGATCTATAACATGCAGACACCGTTATTCAACACATCAGGGAAGACCCAATAGACGAGGCCTAACACCAGATCAGGGTGAGAAAGCTTGATTCACCGTACAGGAAACGTGAACCGACAATAAACGCCCTAATCGGATGAGAGATCCGAATCACAACTCCAGAAAAAAGAAAAGAGATCCACGGCAGAAGAATCCTAATCAAACATCACAAGACGGAAGATCGAAACGATTCACCCCCAAATCTTCCAAACGAAACGATAAACACCAACCATCAGAAAAAGAAGGCAAATCTCTAATCCCAGAATCCAAAATCAAACATCCACCGAACACCAGAAACGAAGAAAGATAAGAGCAAGACAAGAAAAACGCACCTTGATTGATCGCTTGGGGATGAGAAGAGAATTGTCGTTCTATTTGCCAGATGAATTGTGGAAATGGTGTAAGGTTAGGGCCTTGATTTATAGGAGAGAGGTCACGGGGAAAGTAAGGCGGTGGATGAACATCCAAAGAGAACATGACACGTGTCCCGAATGACCTGTCACGCCCCTTCTTGATACGCAACGTTTTGGTATTTTCCGCTGCGTGGGAAAAGTATTCAAGTCGATAAGCACGAAGCTGCGGTCACCGTTATAACGGCGTCGCTTTGTATTGCCAACGTGAGTAACGGCGTTTAATCACTGCATTTGATTTTCCTTTTTCTCACAAACCATTTTCTTGTTTTCTTGTCCACTCATTTTCGGACTTTTTTTTTCCTTTTCCTTTTATCTCCATCGAGAATTCAATAAAATAATATAAATAAATCTGTAAAAGAAACATGTAATCAGATCTATATGACAATATATATCCGAGTACTTTATTTCTTAATACTAAATAAAATTGTACTCTAATTATAAATTTCAAATTTCTTTTATACCAAAAAATAATTCTTTTATTGAAAGTTTTTTATTTTAACGACGTTAGATGACGTTAATCTAAGGCTTGTATTAGTCTGTGTATATATGGTGGTGATAGGTGTGAATAATTGGGCGTGGGGCCCACTTAAACGGGTCTTTTGTCGTTCTCTTAGATTTTTTATAGCACAAGTGGGCTTTTTATTTAAAGGTGAAAACTTTTCTTTTTTCGGCCTCTGGGCTTTAATTTATAATATTTTCCTCCAACGGATGATGTTTGCAAGCAAAGTATAATATTTTATCTTCCAAGCAAATATTATATATCCGTTAACAATATTATAATTGATCTTAATATAATCTAAGGAAATATTTCGATATAAAAAAAATAGATAAAATATTAATGTATGGATGGACCGTCGAGGGAAAGTTGACATGATGATGATTTCAAGCCAACAACTTGTGCATCAAATGCGACTTTTATAAACAAGTGGTGGCCGATACGGATGGCTTTTTCTAAATCACGCCAAACTATTTTGAATTTCTTAATTTGTAATTATAATTTGATTAAATGACCATTTATTCAAGCTAAAACTGATTAAAAACTCGACATATGAAACTAGTTTAACTTTGGTTTTTTATTTTGTCTCGTTTATTTTCAACTATGGGCTCCAAACCAAATAAACTAATCTCTTGAGAATTCCACTCGTAGAAACAGTAGGAACCACATGGAAAAAGTCGGAGATTAATATGGGCCGAGAATCTTCAAAAGCCCAAATCCAAATGGGCCAAACATCCATAAAGGATTTGGGCATTACAAGACTGCAAAGTTAAAAGCCCAAAAACAAATGGGCCTTTATGCATATAGTTTAGTTACCCTTTTCTTTTTCAAATATTTGTTTTGTTGTATTCTTTTGTATTACATTTGGGGTATATAACATTAAATTACTATCAATACATATTTATTCCGGTGGACGTAGTAAACGCTAGACATTTGGGTTTCATTGAATCTTGATTTCAATTCTCTTTACTTGTTAGAGATTAAAAATATTAGAAAAAAGTTGAAGGATTGAAAAACTTTCATTATATATCAAACTTTACCAACAAGGGCACGGCCGAAAACCTATAAATCCATCTGATATTGGTATATTTTTACACAATATATATATAATTTACTTGCATCATACGCATAATGATCCATTGCCTTATCCTTCTTTCTCCCCCAAAGATCTGTATCAGATCCTGCAAGTGGTGATCATTTGTACATTTGAATTCTTGGCTAAATATACCACAAACTTAGGTGAAGGAAAATAAAACTCAAGAATTTCATAAGTAACCGTACAAACTTTACCAACAAGTTGAAGGATTGAGTTCAATATGGTGCAGAAACATGGAGAAACCATATATGAAAAACTTTCATTATATATCAAACTTTACCAACAAGGGCACGGCCGAAAACCTATAAATCCATCTGATATATATATATATATATAATTTACTTGCATCATACGCATAATGATCCATTGCCTTATCCTTCCTTCTCCCCCAAAGATCTGTATCAGATCCTGCAAGTGGTGATCATTTGTACATACTTAGGTGAAGGAAAATAAACTCGAGATTTTCACAACTAACCGTACAAAATCGATTTGGCAACGCATGTGATGAGAGAAGCCGCCACGTAAGAGCCGACAGTGTTCCAATAAAGGCTTCAGATCGTTGGATTGGATCAGATGCTAATAATCGCGTGCTTTGTTTTCGATATTTTTCTCCTAAAAACTCAACACGAAATATCGATATCATTAAATAAATAAAAAATCATGTCGTTTATGCCCTTATACTCTTGCATTTACAATAATATCAACGTGTATATATGTATATATATATATATGTGTGTGTGTGTGTTGTCCATGTTCCATACGTTTTAAATACAAAGAATTTGTATATAAATAAAATTAAAATAATGGGTCCAGGGTCACAATTTGAGGCTATAGAAATAACGGAGAGAAAATTGTTGATTTCTCAAAACGCAAAGGTTGTTCAATTCGAGACGAAGAATTGCGTGTGAACACCGCGTGGAGTGGTTGGTACTTCTGGCGATATTTTATTTCATAATTTAAAAATTAAAGATAATTATAAAAGGACGGTCCATGTTCCCTCATTTTTTTAATGGCGAGATTAAATTAATCAACCGTGTACCCTCCCTATCATCTACGCACGTTTCTTATTATCGTGGTGGGGTACCACTGACTTTTATTTTCAATTTTATGATTATAAAGAACATCCACGAATCATTCAATGATATTGTGAGATATATCAATGTTATGACATATATATTTCTGATCATCATTATATTATAGGACTGGTTATTTATAATCATACACACGCATATATATATATATATACACACACGTCGTAGTTGCCAGGCAAAACCCAATATATTAAATAGCTCATTTAAATTGGATACAACCTCTCTAGATGGATGTGAACGAGAACGTACGACGTGGGACTCTATTTATTAACGTATAATAATGAATATGTACAATTTTTCCAATCATATAGACATGTTAATATCTCAAGTTGACTAGCCTATATATTTATATATTGTAAAAATTAAAAAAAAATAACGTCGACTAGATTTTAATTCAATAGATTGTTAGGAGGTAGGCCGGGGGATCTTATTGCCAACAAATTTTCGTGGGGACTTTTGATAGTGATTGTTGGAGTTATTGAAATATTAGTTTTATGAAAACATTTCAGTATTAATAAAATTAATACAAACATTTAATATAGATACAGAGAGTATACGTAGTTGCCTTCATAAACTAAAGCCGGTACGGTCCGGTTTTCCCGGTTGGTTCGGATTGAGTTTTTTTTTTTTTTTTTTTTGATAACCGGGTAATCCTAGGCCCAAAGGGCCCAGACTAATCCCGACCCACACGCACAACCGGCACCACACGTGTGGGATGTGAAACACCCGAAGGTGACCGGAGGGGAAATCTCCATACCCTGGGTGTTGAACCCACGACCTCTTGTTCAGGAAGTGGGCTCTCAAACCAACAGAGCTGGGGGAGATCCCCTGGTTCGGATTGAGTTGGGTCATCAAATTAATCTTTTGAATCCATAAATCGGTAGGCCTCGTGAAAAAATATCGAGGCCGATGAAAGAATTCCTATGATTCTCGTTCCTCCATGTCTCTCACTCCTTAACCTCATCTTTTTTTTTTTTTTGTAACACAATATCCATGATTTGAAAAGATATTTAAATTCTTTACACAGTTCTCTTCGTACGTGGACCTTCCTTTTGCACGTTGATAATGTTATAAACACAAGTTTATCACATTATATATATTATGTTTTTTTTTCTAAAATCTTGTTTTTATCTTCTAAATTTTTTTAGTATGTAAATTATGATGATATTAGTGTTTATGAATGAATGCCATTTGTGTGTGTGTGTGTGTCAACATATATAACTTATAAATAATTATGTTATATCATTTTTTATAAAGTTATTTTCTATTAAATTGCACAAATATATACAACAGGATATATTATATTTACGTTTTATTCTTATTTATTTTCGATTTTTAAAATTTTTATTTATATATGTTTCTAATGTTGGTGTAGTTATAATATATTCAAGTACTATTGAATTAATTATCAAATTTTTATAAAAAAAAAAATTGATAATTTTTAAGACATATATCTTACACATTAACATATGTAAACGCATCAATTTGATAAGGTCGATGAACTTTAAAGAGGAATGATAAAAATTTCAGCCGACATACCAAAAAGAAAAAAGAAAGAAAAAACTCGAGCCGACATGCAAGATTCTAACATAGGTTTACATCAACATTATCATTATTAATGATTTGGTAGGTTCTCTCCCTATATATGTATTTGATATCCGACAAGTGATTTTCCATCAAACAACGATAGTTCAAATAAATAAATAAATATATATATATATATATATATTAAAAAAAGGAAATTGAATGAATGAAACTCCTCGGTTATTAAAGAAGCTTTTATTTATCTTTAATTTCACCAGTTATTAATATGTCACCTTTTTACCCAAATTTTGATAGCTCAATTGATAAATTGGGGTATAAAATGATTGTCTCATCCCGAATTCGAATCTCAAATTTAGAAAGCAACATTCATCCGTATTTTCCAAATCCCTGGAATTAGTCTGAATCTTTGGTAAAATATCGTCATTTGTCTTCTTTCTTTTCTCTCTTAATCTTTTCGCTCGTAAATGGTAGATGATTACCCATTATACATTTTCTTGCAACGATTGATCAAGACCCATCCTTACAATTTTACAAAGAAATTTCTTTTCACCAATTAGTACGAATCTGAATTATCGTCTATAAATCTATTTGAAATCGCATGATCATTCGAATTTCAAACTATACATCGATCAATGGATGGATTGATGATCATTGATGGTCTCTTCTCTTTGCTTGTTGTGGTTCCACATTTGGGGTTTTGCCTAATGTTCCAAATTGCGGGTTGCCTTTTTGTTTTTATTCTCACGAAATGTATAAAGAAGAAACCTTTCATCTCAATTTTAGTCAGTGCATGCATAGTCTCGCGAAAAGTAACATTTTTTTCTAGAGAGTGGAAAATACTATTTTCTCTACTAAAAAGGGAAATCCGACATGAATATATATATATATATATATATAGAGAGAGAGAGAGAGAGAGCTCATTCTGAAGTAAAGTATTTTGGAGATATAAAATTTGATAATATGGGTTTGGAGAGAAAAAAAATTATAATTAAAAATAGGTAAGAGGTCAATTGAAAATTACAAAGATTTAACACGAATCTAGAGTTATGCCTTACTTTGTACTGTGTTTATTATTTTATTTTTTATTTTATTAAAAACATATATTTTTTTTTATAAAATTAAAACTATGTTGTCTATTTAACTCTTTGATTATCCACAATAAAGCAACATTATCGTACAATTTTGCCATATTTTTTTTAATATAATTTCCAGTTTAATCCAATCAAACCCTTGATGATATCTCAAAACCCACAATGATGCATTTCATAACTTTTCTATGTGCTGCTGTATATTGTCTATCTTCCCATTAACACAATGACCTAAGATGGGCGCGTTAGAGCTATTTAAAAGGCCGACTGACCAAAAAAAAGGCCGACGAGATAAGTTGGAACCCTCCGGTTAATACATTATTTTTAGGGCTAGGACCAAACCGAACCGAAAAACGGTACTTTTCCCGACCCGAAACCGTTCTTAATTCCCGAATGTTACTATTTTTAGAGAACCGAATTTTTCCGGAACCGAACCGAACCGAACTTTAAAAATCCCGAAAAACTGAATATTTTTAAAGAAAATATATCTTTTTTTTTAATAAAACCCGGAACCGAACGGAACCGAATACAATATAAAAACCGATTGGTATCTATTTTTGTAAAACCGAAAGAATCGAACCGATCCATTCCCCTTCCGAACCCGAACCGTTTTCCGAAATGTCCACCCCTAATTATTTTACATATATAATATATAAAAATATCTGATTTTATAAAAAAAAAAATTGAACCCAGAATATGAAAAGATTCTATATTAAGAAAAAATGAAATGAAATTGATAATTTGGAATAATAATTAATTTATCATATCAATGTCCAATGATACTGTAGTTCTTTTTGAGTTTATGTTATCCAAATTATTTTCTCATATATTCTTTGTCCTCGTTTCTATTCTATAATTTTTACAATCCAAATATAAAGGAACTGATAATATGATATCACAAAATTATTGGATATATATTTATAAATTTTAATATAAAAATTTAAACGATATCATGAAACTCGTGCAAAAGTTATGTTGATTTTTTTTTGCCAAATTGTTTTAATTTTATTGAATGTCCCCAAATATTTGAATGTTCAAAATCATTAATGTCAGTATTATTGGATGTTATTCCATCAATAAGGAAATTTATTATAAATTTAAAGAAATCATTTTCAAATGTACGTAAGATGAGTTATTTTTATATTCGTGTATGTATGTATGGAGGTGGCGGACCAAGCAGAGAAGTCGCTAGACGGAAGTCAGATGGCCCACCATTTGACTCTATACATTGCCCCAACCAAACCTTATTTAATGTGATTTATTTAAATTAAATTCAATTGTTTTTTTTTTCTTCAGCTGAACTAATGATATCTAATGCCCTCAAAATCATCATTGCTCCAATCACGTCGACTGATTGATACGTTTTCTAATTCATCAAAACCAGAATATCAGTTTCATCACAATAATAATAATAATAATAATAATAATAATAATAATAATAATAATAATAATAATACTTTACCAATAATAATAATAATAATAATATAAAGTCTTCTAGGTATGGAGTACGGTGAGAGATGGAGCAATTTATGGGTGTTATTGAAGATACATGCATTGTTGGCTATAATTTTTACTACAAAACATGCAATTAATTATATATATATATATTGGATAACATAGGATATATAATCAGTATATATATATATATACTTTCTATAATTTTTTTGGGTTTCTTTAATCGAATAGCAACTAGCATATTGATTTTAAACCAGTTTACATCATTTCTATAAATTTTGAAATAGCAACTAGTATATATATTTGATTTTAAAACAGTTTTACAATTATTTCGGTATATTCGTGTTGTGCGACATAACATAACCCTACCTAAAATCCGCAGGACATGAATGTGGCAGGAACTGGATTGGTGAGATGAACAGAGCCCATAAGATCATACAAGTAATCATAATTGATTGCGATGTTTGGGACTAATTAATCAACGATAGTGCCGACTTTATTTATCTAATCATTCTATCTTATTTAAAATTTCTCGGACCACTGATCCACTTTATCATCATAAACATTTTTTAACCTATGATATTATTATGTATGATTAGCCATCTGCGGATAAATCTATCCTCGCCATCAAAGAGCAAAGTGAAATCCCTCGTCGCTATCCCTCTGGCTTACCCTGTATCCAAATCCAAGCGTGGAAAAAGGTATTCATCTGAATTTTCGGATTATCAAAAAAAAATTGTTTAATGAGTTGAGATCTGTATATAGTAATAAAAATAATAATTTTTTTTTTAAAAAAAAGGGCAACATAGAAGCAAGTGAAAGCATGAGAAACAAGGGCGGTGTCTGAACATGCAAATGTTCAAACCTTTGAAAACGAAACAACATCATGTTCTCCAAGACACTCCTCAATTATATATTAATAATTACAAAACAGTTCCCATTCTTGTCCAATATATTCGATACATGTATGCCTTTTAAAATTTTTATTTTATTTTTTTATTAATATATGACTCACAATGTTCCACTCATTATGAAAATGTATTATCAAAACACTTGCAATTAACATTATAACACATATATATATATACACACAAGATGTATGTTATTAAAAAAACACTATTTGTACATATATAATATATATGTAATTAATTTATTGGATTTGTGTTTGATTGGGGGATATGTCTCGACCTTTCACATGATACATCTAGACTAGACGGAAGATTTCACCTTGCTGTAAAAATTATATCAACAGAAAATACAAATCATATATATATATAATATGCAACAGAATATATCAACATATTACATATGAATTTTAATAAATTGTACACATCCTTTGAAAAAAGGAAAAAAAAAATATAGAATAAATATATTGCACCCTCCCTCATATACGCATACATGTATACAAATACAATATATGTGTGCTTGTGTGTATATATATGTGTGTGTGTGTGTGTCTCTCAACACAACACGTATTTTGACGCCCTTCACTTCCACTTCCACATTGTACTTCTGTCTCGGCTAAATTCTCTCCTTCTTCTTCTTCTTCTTCTTCGTTGGTCTCTTACTGCATCATGGATCCTCCATTCGACGAAATATACAAAACCCTTTTGTGCAAACAAGTCACAAACACTGAAAAGCCACATGAAAAGTCCGAACCCTTAAGTTTCTCGATCACGGCCGTTGAGGAAGTGGAGCTTCCGGTGATCGATCTCAGCCGTTTGATCGACAACGAGGACGAGGAGGAAAGGGAGAAATGTAAGGAAGAAATCGCAAAAGCTTCAAGGGAGTGGGGATTTTTCCAAGTTATAAACCATGGTATATCGATGGAAGTGTTGCAGAGGATGAGACAAGAGCAAGTTAGGGTTTTCAGACAACCCTTCGACAAGAAAAAGATGTCGGAGAAGTTCTCCGTCGGAAGTTACCGGTGGGGGACGCCGACGGCGACTTGTCTCCGGCAACTTTCTTGGTCCGAAGCGTTTCATGTCCCCATGACTGATATTTCTCCGGACAACAACGACTTCACCAGTCTCAGGTACCCAATTTCCTCGATTTCTTTGTTAATAATCTCTTTCATTTTATCCTTTTTCAAAATTCTTTATACGAACATTATGCACACGAACCAACGACTTTAGAGAGGCTAGATGATTTAGCGATGCAAGTAATACCAATTATAATTTTCTTCAACATCATATAAATTAACTATATTAGCTCGTACGACTAGTTTGGTTTAGATATTTGACTATGAGGATGTATTGATTATCAAAAATATCATAGATGAAAGTATTTTTTTAAAAAAAAAATTAAGGCTAGAAAGTATGACTATTTAATTGAGACTATAATATTGTCTTTGATGTGAAATGTTTGACTATTGTAGCTGCATTTTCATTAGTCACGGATTAGGAACATGGGAGACAAAGTCCCTTTTTTAAATGAATTTAATATGACACTTTGAAGCTGATAATAGAGTGTAAATTATATGTTTAATTAATATTCTTGGCACATTAATTTGGTTAATTAAGAAACAAAAGGAAGTGAGTCAAAGGTTTATCCTCCCGCTTTCTATTGTTTTTTTTTTCTTTTTAATAATTTCGGATGCAAGTTGACACGTGAATATCCCAAATAAACGATTAAAAAACTAAAGACATTGACATCATGATTAATTAAATAATTAAACATATTTCTTTAAATGTTTTTCTCATTGGTTGGCCTTCCTAGAATCTCGTGCCTTGAACCAAAGAATTTTCACATTCTACACACATCCATCGAGTCGTGTTCAAAAGTGTGTTAACATACTATCGATCGATATTTACATATATGAATATATGTATGTGGATATATATGACAAAAGAGAAACTTTCTCATGTGATCAAATTCAGAGTTTTATGAGTTTTTTTTAAAGAACTTTATAATATTTTATATATATATATATTAAAAGACAAGTCAGACGGTGTTATAATTTCTTTTATTTCCGACCAACTGTTTTTGGTCGGTTTTGTCAGAGAGAAAACAATCGAATAACCAATTCTTAGGGCACATTTGTTTTGTATTTTAAAGGCAAATTGGCTATTGAAAAATCTGGATTTATTAATTTATCGTGGAAGTCGTCGTCAAATTAATTACAGTTTAGAGAATCATTCAAACTAGGACCATTAATTGTTGACTTACTAATTTTAAAAAATCATTTGATATGATTACGAAAATACAAAAGAAACAATATCCAAAGACTTGAAGCATACATACATACATACATACATACATACATACATACATACATACATACATACATACATACATACATACATACATACATACATACATACATACATACATACATACATACATACATACATACATACATACATACATACATACATACATACATACATACATACATACATACATATACATACATACATACATACATACATACATATACATACATACATACATACAATACATACATACATACATACATACATACATACATATACATACATACATACATACATACATACATATACATACATGTAAAAAAACGTACCTTTATGAAGATAAGAAGGAACAGTCACGAGAAACTGTATGTTTACCCATTTGACAGAGGGTAAATAGCAATGAAAAAGGTGTGTGTACATATATATATAGAAGTACGTATACGAATGTCACACACCCATACATACACACGCATGTGTGTGTGTGTGTATACATATATATACATAAAGATGCTTCTGATATCTTCTCTGTGGAATCTGCACACATTCTTACTCATAATTTCCTCTGCATGCATGTGGTCTCTTACACACCGTATGCAATGTTTCAGTATGTGTGACCACTCACCGTTGCTAGCTTTCAATAGTCGTCGATCTCTTATAATAAGTCACTATATATATAAAACGGTGCCCATAAAGTTTACAATAATAGTTCATTACTGAAATATTTTTTCTATAACTCCACATATTAACAGAATCTAAACATTAATATCCAAATTAACAAACTAGTTTCAAATAAAACATTTGAAATCATATATATATATTTGCTAGTGAATCTTATATATGTGTATAGAAGACGCTTATTCTATATACATGCAAAAAGATTAATAGAGTATAAAAAGGGTTGTAGTACATGGAATTAGGTCTCGCAAGCTAAGATTGAGCTGTAGATTCAGGGCACTCAGTCACATATCAATGGCAGAGGCAGTGAATTTGACTGTGGGTCCATATATATATCCCTCTCTCATGCATACTTATTTCATTTATTGGGCACTATAGAGATAAGATTCTTAGCCCTTTCTAGGGAAGGAAGAATTATGTCTAACCTTTTAACAAAATCATATAATCGAATTTAGATACTGCGTAGGTATTCAAGAAAACATGCATCTAACCATACTAAATCATACCATATTGAAAAATACGGAGAGTTAGAATTATCAAGATTAGTTTATAATTTTTTTATCATTGAATAATACAAAATTTTATTCTGCAAATCTTGACATGCCATGTCAAATCCAAATCAACCTCCCACCTTAATAAACAAAGCCTCATGCTTGCTTGCATAACAATGACACCCACCATTGGTTTAATTTGGTTGATTAATTCAACAAATTAGTACTTTGTATAAAATGGAAGGATTTAATAAACAAAATAATATAAAAGAAAAGGCATGCTCCTAACACACAGGAGATTTCATTTTCAAAGATTGACACGTACCTCTCCTCAAAAAGGCAATTTCCCCATTTCTTTTGTCTTCTTGTTATGTTCTTTCGCCCTTTTTGGAGCTTTGTCTATTGGCATCTCTCCTCTACCAAGAGCAGAAAACCGCTCGCCGTTTCTCCTCCTTACAAATGGACCGTGTGTCGTTTTTCTCACCCCGGACCAGCTCAGTGGTCCCTCTCGTTTTATCTTCTAGTGGTGCCGGCTTTTACCTCTTAATTATCATCACATTCACATGGTAAATATATATGATAATTGCAAGAGAAATATCTCTATACAAATAGCTAGGAAGAAGATGCACAGAAAAACAAATATTAGATAATATGATAACCATTAATGTGAACAAATGTTATTTTGTTTTTTTACATTATGATTCATGTTTTCGCATTTTCGTATGTAAAAAGTTCGACAATGGAGGAGTTCGCGTCGGAATCGGAGAGTTTAGCACAGAGGTTAGCAGAGGTGTTGGCGGAGAAATTGGGAAGAAAATCAAACATCTTCAAGGAGAATTGCGGGAGGAAGACGTGTTACTTGAGGATGAACAGATATCCACCTTGTCCCAACCCTTCGGAGGTGTACGGACTCATGCCTCACACCGACAGCGATTTCCTCACGATACTGTACCAAGACCAAGTCGGAGGCCTTCAACTCATCAAGGACTGTAAATGGATCGCCGTTAAACCCAATCCCCTCGCCCTTATCATCAACATCGGTGACCTCTTTCAGGTAAAATATTCACATGTATAAATATTATTTATCTATCATTCATTGGTGTTGTAATATATATATATATATATACGTAGGCGTGGAGCAATGACGTGTACAAGAGCGTGGAGCATCGAGTGATGACGAATCCAACGGTGGAGAGATTCTCGACGGCGTATTTCTTCTGCCCTTCACACGACGCCGTTATCGATTGCTCTGGCGACTCTCCCATTTACCGGAGCTTCACCTTCCGACACTTCCGACAGCAAGTCCAAGACGATGTTCAAAAGCTCGGTTTCAAAGTTGGTCTCCCTCACTTTCTTCTTTAATCTCATCCATATTTTAATCATATATACTTATATATATATATATATATGTTATTCTTCCTTGTTTCGTTTTGTATTATTTACGTTGTTTTGAGCGGCTGCATATATATGTATTACACATTTTGAATGCATATTATCCCCCCTGTTATGAATTATGATCAATAAACACGCGTTTTATATGTTAAATCTGGTGTTTTCTTTATTAATCAATAATCACAACAAGTTTGAAAGTTAATTGCACAAAATTCCTTTTCGTTACAGTATTTTATTGGAAAAGTCTGTAAATACTTGGGGAATGACAAGTTATGTTGGGTTTGATTCGTTCCATTTTTTACATGTGTATATATTGATAAATGTACATATCTTTAAGGCTTTTTTTGTCATTTTCTGATGGGGAGATAAGCCTGTCACCCGTTAGCCAATTTGGGCCTTGTGGGAAAAATCATGGTTTATCATATTATCGGGGAAAATAAAAAGATCGCAGAAAAAATTGAAAAAAAAAATGGCTTCTCTCTCGGCCATGAAATCGCAGGGCCTCAGGCCGACACCGGCCGCGTCCAATCCCGACCATAAGTTCAGACCTTCAGTTTCGGAATCGGTCTCCTTGAACACCTCCGAACATCAACCTCGGAAGTTCAAAGGTAGCTCGCAGCTGAAC